TGGTGGAGGGAAGAGTTAGGACAGGGTCTCACTGTAGCCAGGCTGGCCTTGCGCTGCTACTCCTTCCAAATTAGGGTTGTAGTTTTGTCCCTCATACCTGGCTCTGAGGGGCTTTTTTGCTCCCACTTAGTTTCAGTCCTCAGTGGATCCTTCCAGAAGTGTTAATGAGTTCATTCTTTGCCTGCAAAGTGAGCCAGGGGCACTTGGTCTCTGTGCTCCTTCTGGCTTCCTACTTGTGACAGATGGCTTTTCTGTAGCTCTTGACAAGGACTGAGCCCTGGGACGGTGCGCCTGTGTAGACTTCTGAGGCTGGAGGGAGGGATTCAGCCTGCTTCTCACTTTTAAAATAAATTTTAGTGCGTCCATAATAAGGTATCTGTCATGAAAGTATGGGGTTCGTGTATAAAGGCTATTAGAGTGAAAGGATGAACATGCTCACTAACCATCACCCACTTTCTTTGACAAGAGCAGCTAAGAAATCTCATTTGGTCTGATCCAGAATATGCTTTTATTTGTACTGTCATGTTGTTAGCACTCTAGACTTACTTATCCATCATACCTGCTACTTTGATTTCGATCCTCCTATTCCTCTCTCCCACTCCTCTGGCTTTACTCTGAAAGCTGGCCTGGAACTCAGTGCTTCCTGGGGTCAGGCTTCTGATCCTGCCATAAGGACAATAGGCCTGGTGCTGGAACCTCTGTGCTCCTCTCAGTCCTGTCCCTTTGCAGCCCAGTGCCCCAGGTGGAGGCTTGAGGACACTTGCTTACTCTCTCTGGGGCATCCCAGGCAGGAAGCAGGGCCTCCAAGTTCAGGTCTATTGAAAGGAAGAGAGCCAGAGATCCCAGGGGTGGCCAGTGTTGCCAGCAACAGGCAGAGTCTCTGGAGCTAAGCTCCAAGGAGGTAATTGATGTGTTTTCTACTTTCTGGAAAGTGGTAATTAACCCTGCTCAGGCATAAGTGTGTTGAATGCAGGGGTTTCCTACAATCCTAGCACATAATCGTCTCTCCCTTCTCTTACCTTTCAGCAGACAGCTCGGACAACTCTGATTTGGAAGATGACATCATCTTATCTCTGAATGAGTGATGTGCCATCCCCACTTGGAAGAGAATCTTGGCAGGCGAGAGAAACTGAGTGAATGAATTCAGAACACCTGCCTTTTGCTGCCTCCCAGGGCTATCCGTTAAGGAGCTGTTTGCCCTGCATTCAGAGGACTATGATTTAGAGTCTCCCTGGAATCTGAGGGCCCTTCTAAAAACAATAACCACACATACACACACACACACACACGCACACACGCCTACAGGGACTAGGCCCTAGTTTGCGTCCCTTCCTCTTAGGATGGACATAACTTTCCTCAAGGGAAAAAACAAACATGTCTCTGGGTATTTCACAATATATTTTCTTTGTATAATGTTCTTTACTTAAAGAACAAGAAATAGTTTTTTATAAAACTGTAAAAAGAAAAAAAAAAGCAACAGGCATTTATAACTGAGGGTCTGAACTTATATCCACCAGTCTCCTATCCCTGCACTTCATTTTCTTTGGAAGAAAATGATGTCTAAAGAACAATATAGAGGCATTTTTACATACGTATTTAAATGAAGAGGAAAATCGTGGTTTCTTAAATTGATAAGGATTAAGAATATTTTATTATAAATATAATATATGATTTTTTTAACCTGTTTTGTTGCCTCATATGCTGTCAAGTTAATTTGTTTTCCTTTGTGCCAGAACGGGAATAGAAGGCACAGCCTGCTTAACTGGGGAAAATGCTTAACTCCCAACCTTAGTGGCCAGGCGCAGTCAGTCGTGTGGACCCTTGTTTTGTGGAGTTGAGAGAACTTTAGGGGTATAAATTCATTCCCTCTCTTTCTCTTTGTGATTCAGTTTTTCAAAAAGTCTTTTTTTTTTTTTTTCCTTCCCTTTCTCCCCAATGTGGAAATTACAAATCAAAGGTCTTTTTCTTTAATGTAAAGTGTATTTATTTAAAAAAAAAAATACAAAATAAACTACAAGTCTGTCTTTGTTTATGGCCTTTCCTTGTTTTCTTTGTTACCAAAGTGGGGTTTCCCTCTGAGTCTCCTTACAGTTCTGGTAAAGAAAGAAGGCCTCAGAGCCCTCCACATTGAGAGGACACAGCCATCCCACAGCAAATCCCCAGGGCGGACAGTGGTTCTGTCCTTGAGCCTGGCCTGAAGTTGCTGGAGGCCTTGTGAGAACAGGTGGTAGAAGAGGTGGGGTGGGGTGGGTTCAGGGGGCTGCATCTCTCTCTCTCCTCACGTGTGGAACCTTTAAGGAATATTCTGGCCACCCCTTACCTGGGATTAGGGGGACTTGAGCAGGTTTTCATTCCTAAGAGTTGAGAGGTACTTGAGGCTTGGTTAGGCTGGATTTGGAGAAAAACTTCAGAGGTCTAAAACTGACAAGGTATCAGGGGCTCATGTTTTGCTCCTCCCACCACTTCCTACAATAAATATAAAAGGTTAATTTCTCTGATTTTGACCAAACTGTAGCTTCGGTTTCTGTTACACAGGTATCACACAGCCTCAGACACCCCTCTGTCCCTTTGCTGAGAAGGGTGTGCTGGTTGTAAACAACACAAGGTGAAAACCCTCCAGAGGCAGGGAGTGCCCACTCCGCCAGGAACACGACCTGTCACACTCAGGTGGTGGCCTGTACCAGAGGTACAGCCTGGTCCTTTAAGCAAGCCCTGGCTTTCCGTTTTAGGTCCATTTATTTAGGTCAGCATCTGCTTCATACCATGCCATTAAGTTTAGCTGACACCAGCCAGTGGAAGTCTGATGCTGGTCCTGAATGCAGCTTAAGAGAAAACAGTAAAAACTCTGCCTTGTCACTAGTGCATCTCATCTGCCAGGAACTCTTGGGAGTACCCACAGGCCTCCAAGGTGGAGATGGCACATTTAATAGGAAAGCACAATTCTGGTTGACTTGACAACACTCTCTTAGGAATGTGCCTCATGAGACTAAAAGAAAACATCTGTCGTCCTCGTTCTACTAGAGTTCAAAACCTGAATCACTTAGGAAGACTCAGGATATGAAAACTACCAATTACGGGTTTTTGTTTGCTCATGTTTTTTTGCCTTCATGCAACATCCCAGGCACTGGGTACCTGCTGTTAGCTTTCCCATTGGAGACAATGTCACGATCAAACAAGGCGTTGGCCAACTGACCCATCTTCTCTATTGCTGGTAGGGCTGGATGAGAGGCCACAGAACCTGTTGTGTCTTAAGGACTAAAAGGAAGTCGCTAAGGTGGTCCAAGGAGGAAGGTGGAAGGTTACAGTGGGGTGTGGTTCTTCACCAAGAAAAAGGTTACCACTAGAGCCAAAAGGCTGTCCCTTTCCAAAGAGGGTTAATGAAGCTGGGGCTGAGGTGACTTGGTTCTGCCTAGGGAAGGGTATATTTATTTGGGTGATGAAACCTGCTTTGTTATGGGGACCCAGATGTGCCACAACTACTCTGTGACACTGCAACAGGCTTTCAAGGTGAGGCCTGCCCTGGTTTCTGCTGGTACTAGAAAGAACCCTGAAATAGTTTGGGATACCAGGCCAACTGACTTGAATACCTGGAGGCAGTGGCCATAGCTCAAGTAAACACAGGCAGATATATTAACATTCTCACTGCTTTAGAGCAGTGGTTGTCAACTTTCCTAACGCTGCAGCCCTTTAATATACGTCCTCACACTGTGACCCCAACCATAACATCATTTCATTGCTACTTCATAACTGGAATTTTGCTACTATTATGAATCATAATGTAAATATTTGGGAGTAGAGGGTTGCCAGGAGTTGAAACCCACAGGTTGAGAACCTCTCCTTTAGAGCCATGCTTGGCTGAATACTGGCCAAGGCCTTGTGAGTGGAACATTCCCTGTTCTTCCCAATCTCTATGTCTCTGTCCTTGTAGACAGCCATGAACTCCATGAAACCTCCACAGTCTGTCTCAGAGCCCAGCGGTCACGGGGGCTGCCTCAGGAAGTAAGCAAGCCAGATCCTAAACCTGGCCAGAACCTCTGACCAGAAAATCTCCTCAGCCTGATTGGCTTGGACTACCAAACTGCCACATACTGAGCCTGGCTATGTTCTGTGGTCACAACTATTGCCTGCTCTGGCTTCCTACTTAAGACAGCAAAGGCAAGAGCCTAAAATTCCTCAGGCCACTTTGCCCTCCCGGTCACAGGTTTCCTCCTTACCACAGCTGATGTGGATTCGGGCTCTAGCGCACCACTTCGCAACTCCGAGTTCTCACAAAGGAGTATCTATTTCCTTACCTCATATTTGTGTCAGAGCACGGAACACTATGTCACTCATCAAGGACATCTTCCTGGCACTGACTCCCTTGCAGCGCTGAGCACTGTAGTTGGGGTCTGTCAGTCACAAAGCTCGAGGTGTGACTGCGGCACAGGCTGCTCTGACACAGCCCTGAGAGACCAAAGGAAGCACATTGAAGAGTTAACAAGTCAGGCTGGCTCTCACTCTTCATGCCAACGTTTTGCCTCCAAGGATCCCTGGCAATCAGGCAGCTGATTGCCTGAACTATGGGAAGACAAAAAGACTGAACCAGAGGGAACCCGGACAGGTCATTACAAGGTCCCTCGGCATATTGCACTGTTCCTCCCCCCAAATGCAAGACCGCGCAGCGAAAAACTACCCTCTGTCAAACAGGTCTTAAAACAGCCACAGCTCAAACTAAAGCACACAATCAGGGCAGGGAAAAACACAACTACCTGCAGCTGTTAGCACACATCTTAGGCCTTTCCGCTAAGTGGGCTCAGGTCAGGGTGCTGGAACAGGCCCCTAGAACCTAAACCTGCTGGCCATCAACTAAGATCGACAGGTGTGAGCAGAGTCCTGACAGCATGAAGAGTCAGCACAACTTTTAGAAGCAGTGGTGCCAAAAACATAACACAGGGCATGCGCTGAGGGAAGCCTTCCATTCTTTAAGAAAAAAACCTGATTAAACCAGGACTCTGGTGGGATTAAAAATTCATCCTCTGACAAAGGCTTTACTGACAATTTTCCATACAGTTAGTCAAAAAATAAAATAAAATATAAAAAAATACAGAATACAGCAGACAGTATCTCATACACAGGAAACATAACAGGAATTTCTTATAAAAAAAACCCCAAAAAACAAAAAACCCAATCCCCCCAATCTAAGAACTTAAGTTTTTGCCGTGGACAGGGCGCCACCAACTGAACCACAACAACCCAGCAGAGAATTCCAACCAAGGGAGTCAGGTAGGTAGAGAAGGGAGGTTTTAAAATAACTGCTGTTGTGACACAAACACAGCTGGAGAAAACAGTGTGGGCTAGGCAGTGTCTCTCACTATCACTATCACCATGTGTTCTTCCTCTAGCTTGCCCAATGTCCTCAGTGCTGACTGGAGGTACTGCTGTGAGAAGTCGCAGGGTGGGAAGGCATAGAGCATGCCAGTGCTGTCCCTGCCCTTAGACCCGCCCACGGGCAGGCTGATCACCCCTGCAGCCTGCTTCTGTTTCAAGTAGGAGACCAGGTTCCTGAGAAGCCGCCTCTGTAGGCCTGGCTCCACCGCGGGCACCGCCTCAGTGCCAGGCCCACTGGCGGGTGACTGGATGGCTAGGAGCACTGCATAGCCGTTGGGGCTCCCCTGCTTGATGCGGCGGGTAACCTCATCCAGCTTGGGCTGGTCCAGTCGAAGGCGCTGGGCAATCTTTAGCTGGGTCAGCTTGCTGCCAGAGATGTGGTCCTTGAGGAGACCACTGATAACTCCCTGGTCGCCCTCCAGGATGTGCATAGATGTTGGAAAGCAGCTGTTTTTCAACACTAGAAGCCCATTCCAACCAAGCTGCAGTGTCTGAGCATACTCCGAAAGAGTCTTTAGCTTTTTGGTCTCATGTTTTGGCTCTTCAAGAGTCTTGGGCTCTGCCTCCATGGTCCGATGATTGCGTTCACTCTCCCTAGTCTTTTTCCCATGGGAAGAGTCCGGAGCCTCATGGTGGTGGTGATGGTGGCTCCTCTCCTCCGCACCATGTCTGCTGTTGCTGAGGGAGTTGCTGCCTGACTCCTTGGTCCCTTCACTGGAGTGGTTCTCCTTTCGGCTACGCTCAGGGGTGCGGTCTGACACTCGCTCAGGCTGCTGTCCCCCACCCTTGGTCCTGCTCCGTTCCTCATAAGGGGAATGAGTTGTCCTCCCGCGGTCACTGGAAAGGCTCCTCCGCTTGCGTCTCTCTTCCCAGGGCTTGGCTATGCTCCGGTCCCCATCCCCGCCCCAGCGCTCACCACTCCGGCTGCGCACTGAGCGGGTATAGCCCTCCAGGCTGTTTCTGCGGTCCGAATTCTTACTGAGGCTGGTCCAGTCCCCTTCCAAAAAGGTCCGGTCTCGGTCTGAATACAGAAGGTGTGGAGGGGTCCTATCCCGCACCCTAAGGTCGGCATCCAGGTTCCGATGCCGGGTGTATCCGTCAGTGAGCAGCTCGTAATGCACAGGGAGAGGTGAGGGCTGGTACTGCTGGGGGTATCGGGTCTCCTCTGCCTTGGCAAAATCCACCCGGAGCCGGCGGTCGGGGCCGCCCAGGGGAAAGCCCCTCATTTTAGCACAGGCAGCTTGGGCGGCGTCCAGGCTCTCGTACTGGATGTAGGCAAAGCTGTCTCCTTTGACGTGATCGATGGTCCGAATGCTCCCGAAGCGATCAAATTCTCTGGCCAGAGCTGCCAGCGAGGTGTTGGGTCCAAGACCACCCACCCAGAGGCGGGTGGTGGGATTGGCTTTGCCGTAGCCTATCTTTATGGGGTTTCTGCCGATCACCCGGCCGGACATTGCCACCTTTGCCCTGTGTGCCATGTCCAGGTTCTGAAACTTGAGGAAGGCGTAGGCACCCCCCTGGCCGCGGGCGGGCCTCTTGATGACCACCTCCTCGATGATGCCGTACTTCTCGAAGGCCCTTCGCAGCTCCACCTCGGACACGCTGTGGTCCAGGTTCCCGATGAAGAGGTTCCGGGTGGCCCTCTGGTCATCCTCCGGCATCAGGTCCTCCTCGCACACGGCCGGGTAGCCGTAGGGGCGCCCGCGGTCGTCGAACAGGCCGTAGTAGTCCAGGGCCCGCTCCCGAGACAGTCCCGCGGCGGCGGCGGCGGCGTCCAGGGCGAAGGCGGCGGCGGCGTGGCGCGCGCGGGGCTCCCGCAGGGGCGGGGCGGCTACCGGGGACAGCGAGCGCTGCTTGTACTGGTAGCCGCCGTGCAGCGGCAGGTAGCCCAGGGGGTCGGCGGGCGCGGGGGGCCCCGGGGGCGGCGTGGAGGCGGCGGCGCTGCTGCTGCTGCTGCGCCGGCTGCTCCCGCCGCCGCGCAGATACACCGGCTCCACCTTGAGCGGCCGGTCGTAGAGCAGCAGCTGCCGCGCCAGGGCGTGCTGGCGGGCCTCCCGCGCGTCCTGCGGGTGCCGGAAGTTCACGTAGGCCACGCGGCCCAGCTCGGGGGTGTGCGACAGGCGCAGGCTGATCTCACCGAAACGCTTGAACTGGTGGAAGAGCCGGTCCTCCAGGTGCTCGGCCGGCAGCGCGGGGCTCAGGCTGCTGATGAGGAGCGTCTTGTACTCCGGAGCCGCCGTGGAGCCGGGACCCGCAGGTTCCGCGCCGGGGGGCGGCGGGGGCGGCGGGAGCGGAGAGGCGCGGGGCGACGCGCCGCCGGCGCCCGGGTCCCCCGAGGCCTTGCCGGTCCGTCCTCCGCCTCCGGGCGCGCCCGAGGAGCGCCCGCTGCCCGCTCGGTGGTTCGCATCGCCGGCAGCGCGACCGTCGCGATGCCCGCCGCCGCCGCCGCCGCCGCCGCCGCTGCCGCGGGGCTTGTCACGAGCCCGCGCTGGCACCGGGTGCTTGGTGCCGCCGGAGGCCTTGTGCGCTGCTCGCCGCCCGCCCGCCTCTGCCTCCCGTTCGCGCTCCCGCGGCCGCTTGGCGGACGACGACGAGCCACGCCCGCTCGGGCTGGAGTCTCGCTCGTTCTGCCGCTTCATGGCGCCGGCGCGGCGGGCGGGCGGCCCGCAGGCTCCTCACAGCGGCGGCGGCGGCGGCCCAGGAGGCAGCGCCCCCGGCGCCGCCATCTTGGACAAAAGGACTCGGCGCGGCGGCGGCGGCGGGGCGGGGCGGGAGCTGCGCCGAGGGGCCAGGAGCTGCGTTATCAAGCTGCGCCGGCCGCACCACGTGACCGAGGTGGGCGGGGCGAGACTTTCGCCCGGCGCCGCTCATTGGGCACCGCGGTCCTGTGACACGTGACAGCCCGGCAGCCGGAGGAGCCGGCCTGACAGCGAGCTCTGGCGCCGCTGCGTGGCTGGCGGGGCGAGGTGCCCGGCAACCGAGTTGGGCGCGGATTCGCCCCGGAGCTAGGCGGGCCCCGGCTGGCTTTGTGCTCCCGGGCCAGCTACGCCGGGTCCGTGTACCTTTTGCGAACTCGGGGTTGGGTCCACTGGACCAGGAATGGCCGCCGGTCTTTAACTGTTACTGTAGCCCACTCAAACCTTCCAACTAGGTTGAAGACATCCTGTTCCCCTCAGTGGCGTCCTCTGACCGGGACTAGGGGTGACATCCGTGAAGGTGGACACACAAGGATCCTTAGACCCTGTCCACGACCCTCATCACAGGCATCTTCTGCATTCAGATTCTTCAAAGCACCGACCTGGCAAGACTCTAAAAACAGACTAGCTGCAGGCCCAGGTACAGAAAGTAGAATGCATTTGCAACTACAGACAGGCATCTTGGTGCCACTGGGTCCAACTCTCTGTTGTAGGTGTCTGGGCGGACAGGAGGCTTAGAAAGGTAGGGCTGCGGAGCCAAGATTAAAGAGCAGGTGATGCCATTATAGTCATTTCTTGCCATGCCGACATCTTGCTGGCTAGTGTTCAGGCCACATCCAGGAGGTGAGGTGAAGAATGGGCAAGGGTCCCCAAAGGCCACCAGGGTTTATGTTCTCCACAGACAGTTGATGGATCCACTGTAGGACGATGAAGAACGTACCCAGCTCTTCCCTCCTCCCATAAGCAGAAAGCAATTGGCAGGAGACAAATGTAAGAGGAACTTGGAGGAAAAAGCAGTGGTCTCCAGTGCAGGGTGGAAGGCAGACCCCGCGGATGCAAAGTAAATTTAAGAGGCCACACAAGAAGTGAGCTAAGACCAGCTCTTTGGAAAACACTTCTTAGCAGTCATTCCTTTCACCTATCTTTGGAGGCAGCTGGAGCTCAGTATCCCCACTGAGGCACAGTTCACAAGTGCAAGGGAGCAGCTGAAAACCACATTGCATATAGCTCTCAGGTGCTCTACTGCTACCAGCCCTCAAACCTTGATTCTTGTGTGGATTCCTGCCAGACTTGCAAAAAGCAAGGAGGCCTTGTTCTGAGACTAGACCTAGACTAGAACTTACTAGAACGAGTAAGTGCCAATTCTGACCACCTGCACTCAGCACAGAAAACTGTTCTGTATATACTGAGCCAAAATGGAAATGTGCTTTAGACTTAACCTAAGCCCAGGAACAGGCCTAGCTTCAGCTCCTCCTACTTGATTGGATTGGGGCTTGGGGGTGTGTGTCAAGCCTAACTTTTTATCAGGCTGAAGTATGGGGCACCTGGGAGCCCAGAACCCACACACTTTGGCTGCCCCAAGCCCTTAAATCTTGTTATTGGAGTTTCTGGCCATCAGCACTGGCAGGCCCAGGGATCTTTTCACAGGACAGAATCTTGTATCAGCTCAACTCTCCAAAGACAAGTGGTTTTTTTTTTTTTTTCCTTTAATAAAAAAATCCCAGACAAACTTTGAAGTCCTAGAGTAAACCAGCAAAAGAAGGAAGTAAATTCCTCCCCACCTAGGGGTGAGGGGGTACCACAGAGCCAGCATCATCATTAGGAAAGCTCCAGGCTTCACATCTCATTGTCAGGAGCCCGCTTAAAAAATAAATTACAAAACGGTTGTTTGGGAAAAAGACAGGCGAACTGTTTTCCCTCAGGTGCAGCAGGAATTGGGCAGACTACAAATCAGTTCGTGCGCTGGCTGCCTTGGGGGCATATTTAGGCATCAGTTCATTTATCTTCCGAATATAGTCAGATTTTTCTGCACAGCCTTTGCACATCTCTCCCCAGTCGTCCAGGATCTTCTTCAGCTCTTTCACCCGAAGCTTCTTCAGGTCCACTGTGCTCAGGTCAATGTGCTTGTCTGCAGGGAGAGCAGGAGAGTAAATGGCCGGTAGGAGAGGCTTCAGCCCCCCGACGGCACTGCATGCTAGACCACTGCTCGAGATGACTAGCCCTACTTGCAGCAGGGAAGACATATGCATTCTGCACACATGAGGGAGCTGGCATTCTTCACCAGGAACGCCACCTCAGGCTGTTAGCATCCACTATAGGACACACAGTGCAGGGAGCCCACATGGTTCAGAGGAGGAACACAGCTCCAGGTCCCCAAGGACTTCCGATGTGCCAGCACAGACTGGCAGTTCCAGGCTGGTGGCAGGGATGTCCTGTCTCCTCATGGGGCATCAATCTGATGCTGACTCCATAATCCAGACAAATACCAGAACCAACCAGGATGCCAAGTTTGCACAAGCACAAAGTTCCTGGACACTTGAAGCACAATAAACACTGGCACTGCTTACGCTTCGTGGGATTCTGTGCAACCAGATGGGCTCTGCCATGGTGATGCTGTGACTGTCGAGTTTGGGGTATAGATTTTCGGGCCATCAGCAGTACAGCCATGACAAATCTGTTAAACTCAAGTCCCACCACACCTCTTCACTGATCAAAAACTCCTAATTCTCCTACTTCAGACGAAAATCCAAATCCTCACCAAACCCCAAGTGTCCAGTTTATCCAGTAATGTATTACGCCGCTATCTATATTCTCTATCTGCACTGTTTTTCTATTAGAGGGCCTTTTGGCTAATCCTCCCTACTTCAAAAGTATGCTAACAAGCCACCGTGTCAACTTTTGATTTCCACCTAGCTTTGCTCTGGCAGTTTGGTCCCTGAAGCACAGGTGTCATCCACCATGCCACTCACCCCCACTCACAGGGACTCTTCTGGCTACAAAGTTAAGCCCAGGAAGGGCATGCAGAGACCACAGAAGGCGCAGTCCTAGTCACACTCACCATATTTTAGCTCACAGATCTGGCTGTCTTTCTTCTTCAGCTTCTCACAGATCTTCTCCACAGGGATATGGTGGGCCAGGGGCTTCGACACCTCATTGATGATCTTGGTGGCGGCATCATCTGTGGCCCCAATGTAGTAGCACTGTAGCAAAAAAACAAAAGTCTTTTAAGAAAATGTATGTGTATGGATAAGTGAAGTATGTGCAGGTGCTGAGGGAGCCAGAAGGTATCAGATTCCCTGGAGCTGGAGTTTCAGGGTGTTGTGGGTGCTGGGAACTAAACTCAGGTCCATCTCTCCAGCTCCACAAAACAGCCCTTACGTTATCGTGAAAACCTCTCTGCCAGGGCCTCAGGTTTTAGTATTGTCCAGATCTAGGTGTTAAGTTCTAGGCACTTGATATATGCTCAGTCCCAGAGTTTGCAGATGAGTTTAGGAGCCATCAGAGTTCCACTGAGGCACCACCATGGAAATTAAAGCTACCAAGGCCCATGCTGCACCAGGGCTCTCTGCCCTTGGCCATCTTGGGGCACCTGGCCAACCACTTCTGTCCTTCTGGCCTTTGGGCACTCACTGCACCACACCAATCCCCTTCTCAGAGATACCTGACCACTTCCTACCCCACCCACCAAACGGGCCTAGTCTATTTTCTTCATGCCATTGACTGCTTTGCATTTGCCATTTTCCTCTTCTGACATTACCAATACTAGCCCAATAAATACAGGCTAAAACCATTTCAGTCTCACATTAGTTTACAGACATGTCCCATCATTAAGTGGACAGCACACAAGAGCCTGGGGCAGCCTGGGCGGGTCACCAGCTACTCACCAACCGATTCTCTTTGCCTCTTGCTTCACGGCAGAACTTTACAAGTTCTTCTTCAATAGTGGCTGGTGAAAATGTGACATCTCTGTCTTTGAGATCCTGGTAAAATCTTCCCAGATAAGAAATACAAACTGGAAAAAGAGGGAAGAGAGATGTTAAGCAATTACTAGTCCCCATTTCAGCAGGAAGAAATTCTGCCAGCAGTTTTGATGGAAGGGTTGAGATGATCATCAAACGTTTTTTTCATCACTGGTTTTTCTCAGGTACTCACAGGTGCACAGCACCCTTGGGTTGCTGGGGGCCTAGTACCCAGTGCATTCCGGGACTGAACATTACCCCAGTGACCCACACACAATCCTCCCAGCTCTTTTCAAGTTTACGCCGAGAGTGGACACGTGTCCTTGAGAAGAAACTCACTGTGACCTCATAAGGGACAGACTAGAGGCTGAAGAAAACGATCTAAATGCTTCTCATTCCAAACACAACCCCGAAGCCCTAAGGGCAGCTTGGCAACCCGAGACGGTTGCGGCCCAGGGAGTCCCTTCCCATAATCTTTAAAGTGATGCGAAGGGACAAAAACTCCCGCGATGTGGGCTTCCGGCCAAGTTTTCGACGCGACTGAACCGAAGCTTCTCCTTAAACGGGGTCAACGTTTCTAGGCCCTTCCCTCCAGCGGATCCCTCGGGATGGGCCGTCACCCCCGCCCTCTCGGTTTCGTTGGGTTCCGCGGCGCCCGGCTCCCAACCCCCAACCCCGGCACCTTCGCAGTCGCCTGGCCGCAGCGCCCGACTGTCCGGCAGCACGCTCAGGGCCAGCGCTACCGCCAGCCCGCGCGTAGCCCACATCCTCCTCGGCCGTCGCCACCTCCACTGCCGCCGCACGAATGAACCGCACCCGGCGCGGTGCGCCGCCAAGGGGGCTGGAACACAAACCGGAGCTTCCCATTGGCGGCCGGCCCCCGCGCCCACCCATACGCCGCGTCCTCACTGGTCCACGTGCCCCGAAGCCCAGACTGGCGGCTCCACGCTACCCTTCCTCATTGGCTGGTGGCGTGGGGCCCCTAGACAGTTGTCGGTTGCTGATTGAACCTGGGCGGTCCATAGGAAGCGGCTGGGCGGCTGGCACGGGCCGCCATGTTGGCTGAGGGCAGCTGCCCTGGCTGCCCGCCGGGCACCCTCTCCCACGGGTGACTCGTCCCAAGTACCCCGCCCTGGCTCCACAACCACTCCCCTTCCGGACCCCAGACTCGCAGCGTAGTAATTCTGGCGTCAGCCCACGTCCGGCGGGGTAGGTGGCGCCAGCAAGGATCGGAAGCGGTTCCTTGTTTTGAAGCACCACGTGGACTGGCAAACCAGTCTTTGGGAGCGCCCGCCTTCTTCCGCCGGTGGCCTAGACCCCGCCCGAGACTGCGGAACCGCCGAGGAGAGGCTGGAGACCTGCCGAGTCAGCTGCTGTCCTGGACCTCTGAGGACCCTGCCCGCGGCACGGCTGCAAGCCGAGGCGGTGGGATAGTTCCCCCGTGGAGGCCAGGGGGTCTTGGGAGGTTTCCTTTTCCACTCGTGGATACGCGAAGGTGGGAACTGGAGATGTTACCGCCTGGACTGTCCTGACGCTAAAGTGCAAAGGCTTAGCCCCTCACCCTGGGAGGCAGAATACGGAGAGCGGCCGGCTAAGTACGGAAAGGGATCAATCTGGAGCTAAAAGGGCTTGGAGCCCGGCGACAAGGTTTTGAGAGGGGCGCTTACGCTCCCATTCAGTGAAATCAGTGGATCGGTATCAGGTATTCATCTTTAATTCACATCACAGCAGTCGGGGGGGGAGGGGGAGAGTCAATTGGCAGATATTTACATCTAAAATTCACATACTTGTTGGATTTATAACATGCTACCACAATATATACAGTAAAATGCCTCTTGGACACCGGCACAGTTTTTTTTTTTTTTTTCTATAACTTTTCTGGTACAGGTAAGATCATTTTAAGTCAGTTTTTCTTTAGACATGAATACACAAAAGAAATGGTTAGAAGTTTTCTTGTTTTAAATAAGCACAGAATGCCAGAGGTTAAAAACACATTTATAGAGCTTATTACCAATTAGACATCACACTCTATACATTTTTTGCTCAAATTCCTGTACAAATACACAGCATTCAAATAGGTATTTACAAGTAAGCTTGAAAGAATGAAAATCAGTATTTCACAATCTTTTCAAAGGATTCCCATCTCTGACCTCCCATTTCCCTCACACTGGCTGGCTTTTCAATAAAAAGTATTCAGAACAGGTCCTTTTCATCCAGTTGGGGAAAATGGAGAGGAACAACACAAATATTTCACCTTGCATAAAGCAAGGCTGAGGGACTTAACCCTACATTCCCTGCCTCCTGTGCCACCAAGTGGAGAAGGGAGACGTCTGCATGTGATGACTGGCTGTCTCCGTGAACCGGGGTTCAGACATGCCCGGAGACCTAAGGCTGCCCTACCCAAGACTCACATTCAAAGCTAGACCTTGACCCTCATACCTGTGAACCCAAACGGTCCACAGACAAGCTTAGCAGTGAGTCTGGGCTCAGGAACAGGTGTGTGCCCTTGGAGCTGGGCCTACTTGGACTGGCCTACATCCTCAGCAGTCTGCTTTACTGTGCCTGAATGATCCCTAAACTGTTGGTACCTGGACCCCAACATACTCTGAAGTAAAATGGGCTTTCTATCTTTTTCCATAGGTTATTTGCTGGCAGCTGTATTAAACTTGTTTATAGAGAAAAACACCATCACCATGGGTTCTTCTATTTGGGAAAGAATTGTGGAGAAGGGATGAGCAGCTAAGGCCCAGAATTTGGCCACAGGAGGCCACAAGGCCAAAATGTTAAAGGGAGTAGGAGAGTAACATACCTGCTCATCAAGGAGAAGGCAGTCTTATGGCCATCACTGATGTGAATGTAAGCAAACAAAAGGAAAACAATTGTCTCAAGACAAGTTTTTTAAAAGTAACTTAGAAGCACCCTGGTGAAATATTATCATAACCCCACCATAATACCAAGAGAAAAAAAATCAGTGCCCTGACATGAAGAATTTCCTATAAAGTCACCACTGTGCCCTGCCTAACAGACTGGGGAGGTTTGAAAAACTGCCCTTCTGCCTGTCCTGAACCCTGAGTGGCGGCGGTCCCTATGGGGTTGAAGTGGGGGGGCTCAGTACTGGCTGCTTGGAAGATAACAGTTTTACCTGTGTGGCTCTCTGCTTCCAGAAGGAAAAGTTTTCCTCCCCCATTTTAATTTCTATTTATTTATTTATTTATTATTTATTTATTTTTAAACCCAGGAGCTTGCTGAACCTGACCACACATCCTCAGGGCCTGGAAGCCAGGCTGGGCAGCCAACCCCAAGGCTCAGAGGTAGTGCTGAAAATCCCTGATTCAGGCGCTAAATGGCAGGCATTTGGGGCCACCTGTGAAAGCTAAGAGGCTTTCTGGCTCCTGCCACACTCCAGCCTCACTCTTATACCAGCTCTTTCTAATACAAGGGAAGGGACCTAACTCTCTGCAAGAGTGATAGCCCTTCTAGCTTCATTTCATTCAAGCCCCAGGGCATAAAAGATAACCCTTGCAAGTCCAATTGAGCCAGGGAGGCATCTGCAGACCATGAGGTGTTCTGAGTGGAAAGGAGCAAAGGGTCCAGAATACAAGTGATGAATAACGTCCAAAGTGGGAGAAGAGACAAGGCTGGCCCATGGAAGTCTGGCAGTGTGCCCTGGGCATGCAGTTAGGCCAGTCATGTGCCTGGCTAGCCCCTCAGTTGCACACTCCTAGATGGAAGAGTGGGCAAGCATTTGTGCAAAACGGCCCCTTTGTCCACCTGTGACATATAGTCCATGTGGTCCTTGCAATCCCTGAATGCAATCATGAGTTTTTCTATCCAAACAGCAAAGGAAGAGGTCCCTAGTGCAATTTCCATTCTTCGATTCTCTACCCTGGAGGGAGGGCCTGGGCTCCTACTCCTGGACTCTGCAATGCTGCAAAGCAATTCTGTCTGTGCAATATTTCCATATAGTTCCGTGTGCTCTGGAACTGCAGGAGGAAGAAAGCAACTACTGCATAAAGAAAAACCCAGAAAAATGGAAACAAAAAGTAAAATAAAAGAGAAGCCACAACCCTTCATGCTGCTGTGGCCTCTAAACATGGCAATACATGAGTTCACGGCAGTAGAACAGAGACTCTGGTGGTTTTTCTCCTGAGTGCCAAGCCTCTAGCTCCCTGGGAGGGACTTGCTTTTCAGACCTGGAGTGCCTGGGCAAGCTGCTCATGGAAGATGGTTGGTGCAGCTGCCTCTCTGCTCCTCATTGTTCCCCTCGGCTGTGCTCCCAGGCCATGCGGGCCTGCTCCTCCTTGGCACTCCCAGGAGGCAGTGAAGCCTTGCGGTGCAGGCCCCTTGGCCTCTCAGCCTCCTCCCGAAGTAGCACACCCTCATCGTGCTCTAAGACTGGCAAGCGGGGGTGGTAGGGCTTGGGTGGCAGCGCAGGTGGGTCCATGGGGTCCTGAGGGATGACACACCCTGGGGCTGAGTGGCTTCTGCATGGCTGGGACTTGATGGAGTCAAGGACAGCAGACTCAGACAGGCTGTAGTGGACAGGGAGGTAGGGCGGCTCAAGGTCTTCATCGCCATTCCAGGCCTGGCTTGGCATGGAGTCCATGGTGTCTGTTCGAGGTGGGGCCTCTGAAGAGTGCCCAAAGTTACTCTCACTCAAGGAGGACACACCGCTACTGGCACTGCCAGACAGCGTAGAGTTGCTGCCATCCAGGCCCGATTGGGGGCTTGTAGGGGAAGCTGGGATGGGGTGGAGAGGAGACTGTGCGAAGGAAAGGGTGGGTAAGTTAGAATCCCTCTCTCTAGACAGGTGGACTGGCCTGCCATGTGGAGACCAAGAGTCTGCTTATCAATGAATTTTAAAATCTCATCAGTTTCATGTTTGTTTCTTCAGCAATGATTCCCCTAAGTATCCCCACCCCCACCCAAAGCAAGCTAGTGGGGCCCCAGAACCACTAATATTTCTGCCCTGGCTGCTGAGTATCGGTGTACCTGAGGCTAAGTGCCAGGTTGGTTGTGGTTGGAGTTACTGACAGGGCTGGGTCATCAGGCAGAAGGAACCCTGGTGGGCCATAGGTCAGATGAATGTTACTCTGCTGCTAAAATCTGTCACAGACTTGGTCTTTTCCCATTTACAGAAAAATTAAGATAACAACAGGATTCAAATTTTACTTCTTGAAATTTTCATAAAACTTTAGTGCCTGATATTTCTCATTTTCAGTTGACCCTAGTTTTAAAAACCACAACAGGGACATTTCTTTAACTCTTGGACTACAGTGTATTGAGAGCCTGTGGAATTGGCAGAGAGCCCCCCAAGTTTCTTAGTGCTCACTATGCACATACTCTTGTTGCCATGTATTGTCCACAAGACCCTCTGATCTCCCTGTCCTCATTGAATTTGTTGCAGGATGCATGGGTCACCCGAGCGCTAGTGTGGCTCTGGCCACCCCCAGCTTCTGCCAGCTTAGGCTCTCAGGACAGAGGAGCAGGGGAGGGTTCAGGTTCCTCTTGTAGACCCCAGGGGTGATTGTACAGCAGATGAGGCGGTAGGACAGTTGCTTCAGTACATTACCTTGCGCAGTGTCCGGGCAGGGAGGGCCGGGGGGGTGTCACCCAGAGGGTGGTGGAAGGCGTCGAAGTGTAAGGAGTAATGACCTGTAAAGGGGACAGAACCAGAGCCTCAGTGGGGACCTTTGCACAAGTTGCACAGCAGTATCACCTTGCTGGGCACTGGGCAGGTGTGGAAAAGTCCCGGGAACATCTCAGCACTGAAGGCCACAGAAAACCTTTCTTTATATTGACAGCCTGAAAAATACAAGTCTCACACAGGAGGCTAGGAAAGTTGAGTGCTTCACAGCCCATGAAACAGTAGGCCTCAGGCAAGAGAAGTTCTAGTCCACCGGCTAGCAGTTCTGGTCCACCATCAGGTAGGCTGGTGAGTTGATTTTGTTGTCTTCAGCCTCTCTGGTTGGGATGGCCTTCCTGAGCTAGCTTGCAGGGCTCAGGATCCTCAGGCTCCAATACTCAGCAGGTTCCTTTCTGTGGCATGGATGCTTCTTCTCAGCTGAGACAGCCTAGACAGCAGCTGATCTAGCCCTTGGTCAGAGTCTGAGACCAGAAACTATTTAGGGGACCCGCTTACCATGCAACAGGCTTCGGGGAGGCACTGGGGGGGCCAGGATGTGCCCCATGAGGGCAGACAGGAAGGGCTGGGCCTCTTGGGCTCCGCTATCCAGGCTCCAGCTGCTGGGGGCTGCTGGCACCGCTGAAGGGTGGAAAGAGATGGAGTGAACGGAGGTTACTTCTTGAACTTCCCACTTGGGAGAAACTGCCTATAGCTTGAGGCTTCTAGGTGTGCTCTGTGTAGCCAGCATACAAGTAGTATATCAGGCCCTACAGCTGAAAGTACTGGCCAAGCAAGGCACTGTGGCCCAAAGAGATGACTGGCCAGGGATTGAAGCTGCCTATGATGGCAACAGCAAGCTGATTTTTGAAGAGTATTCAGGATATGGCAAACTCAGAGAAAGTGCAGTAAGAAGTAAACACCTGCAGGCTCTGGGATCTAAGAAGAAAAACCAGAAGCCCACAGGAGAGGAAAACAGGACAGGTTGAAGAGATCAAGAACACAAAGAGCACAGAACATAGAGCTCTTTACAAGTCAAGAGTTAGGCCAAGGTTCTTGCTCTGCTCATGCCCTGTGTGAAAAGCAGGAAGCAAGATAAGAGACAGAGACAGTATCTTTGGAGAGTTGCCTCTCAAACTGGTTTCACAAAGGGCCTGCAGTGACACTTAAGATGCTGAGCCATCCCTGTTGTCCGTATGCCTACTAGCTGGGCTTAAGAGCAAGATATCTTTCTAGCAAGCAGAGGCACTTAATGTACCCACTGAAGTAAAGTTACGAAGCCCAGGAGTTTCAGCCTAGGCCCAGGGGAACACACTGCTTCCCGAGAAAGGGGGAGGCTGTGGAGCCCTTGGATGCAAAATAGAGTAGGCTGCAGACCACAGTCCAATGCCTCGGTACTGGCTCTTTGGCTACAGCTGGGGTGAAAGTTCTTTGTGAAAGGGGAGAGGAGAAAAGCAGTGGCTAGATTTCACAACTTAGGGTTTGGCTACTCTGAAGGTACAGAAAAAGAAATGTGAGGCATGTTTAATTGGTTCTTCCCAGAGAACAAATGCTAACAAGAAGAGACATGCCTTTCCTCTGCTGAAGCTTTTGGGAAGGGGAGCCTATGTGGACCAGGTGTGGGCTCTGCTTTAAGGCAGGGTTAGCCAGAGGGAACTCAAGATATCTGAGGTTTGGGCTTTCTTGGCCCAGACACTCAATGGAAAATTCCAAGGCCTGACAGGAGCTGGCGTCTCTAGAAAGAGCTAGATTAGGATGTGGTCCAAAGTGCTGGGCACATGGTATTCCATGGATGACATCATTTCCCTTTTCTTTCCTCAGGAACTAGCATGGGCTTGCAGCACAGCACAGGTAAAATTTAAGTATAAGGAATGTTTAATCTCATGATGTATTGATGGCTCATAGCAGGAAGGAGACATCTGAGTCTGATGAGTGGCCACTGAGCTGGTACCTGCAGGAAAGAGCCCTGAATCTGCTAAGCATCTTAGCCCAAGCATAGGCACACCCTCTCCCCAGTTCTTCAGGTTTCCCTCTTCCCCCAAAACAAAGATGACATTTACAATGAAAGCCACACATTTCAGGAAAGCAGCATCTTAGAGATGATTCTGAGAAGCTTCTCCAAAAGGATCTGACAGTCCAATCTCAGGTCATCCTTAACTCCTGAAAGAACTGAAGGGGCTGCAAACGTTTACCCCTAAGGGCCCAAAGGAACTTGAGGTCAAGAATGCTATAGGGGAAGAATGATAGGAAGGCTGTAATGGTGTATTTAAAATGGTGTCTGGGTGAGTCACTCTGTATCAATTTGAAACCACAAATCTGCAGTGATGCCAGTGGACCATCGCCATGTGGAGTGGCCAAAAGGATGATTTATCCTAGTAGAAGATCAATACCAACTGAGGCCTGTCATAGATCAGCATTAACAGATTTACAGCATTGGCCTGAGGTCCTCGGTACACAGCTCCTGGCCATAGGGCAGGCTTGTCTTGTCTGGGAGTGACTGGCAAAGAATAACCTAGGTGGGTTCCTAGTGACACCTAGTATTCTGGCCTCTGTATTACCAATGGGAATTGTCTAATTTGTTTACACTAAGTCCTGACCTTGTGTTTTGGATATGGTAGCTCTTGGCTTTTTTTTTTTTTTTTTTCTTTTTCTTTTTGGAGACACTGGTCCTTCCCTCATACACCTAGCGTGGGCATGTCCAGATCCTTGCTGCAGTATGGCTTGAGGCTGGAAACTCTTCTGTGTCCAGCTGATGTAGCATCCTGGTCTGACCACAGATAGTCATTTGAGCTCTGAGCTGTGTGACTCTTGGCTATTTTTGAAGTTGATCTGCATCTTAGGTGAAGAAAACCCATTGTGGATTCTGGCCTTCCAGGTCAAGAAGGCCCATTGTTTGGGGTCATAGGTGCAGGAATCCAAGAAGCCACTTTTTCAGGCTGTGCAGCCTTGAGGTTAGGAAGGCATCTTCGGTAGGCTCTGTGTGGCTGAGAATCTGGCACCAATGCCCACTGGGAAACAAGGTTTTGTACCCAGTGTTTGACTCCTTAAAAAGGTCACAGAGTTTGTCCTCTACGATAATCACGAGGGCTAACAATGACAGAGGGGACAGCAGACAGCACTTGGTAAGCAGATGCAATGACAACACGATGAAAGCTTTGAAGGGACATGGTCTGGGCTAAGGGACAACAGACTACATTGGTGGGAAGTGAATATGCACGAAGCACAATAGATGGAGAGGGGAGAACTATGGGCCAGGTTCTAGTTGGCACACAAGCTCAGCCTGATCCCCATTTAGGTACTGCTGTGCTAAAACTAAATTTAGGTGTCTGGTGTTTCAGCTCAAGGTTACAGAGGTTAGATGCTGGTTTGTATATCAGCTTGCACAGCACAAAGTAACCTGCCACCAGCTGCAGTTTTAGGGAGAGTTTCTCAATGGCATGGTGTTGTAGAGATGGACCCATTAGCTGGCCAGAGTAGCTAAAGAATGACTGGACTTCACTGAAGGACCCAGAGCTTTCCCTGTGGAAACTTACTTTTGGAAATTCACTATATTATCTCTTTTTCCATTCCTTTGGGGCTTTCATTGACCAGAGTCCATTTTGAGCTCCAAGAAAAAGTTTCTGAAGCCCCAAAGGGACCATTAGGCATACTAAATTCTAGAAGTCAATAGGAAGAACCTAGGAGTGTAGATGCCCACAGCAACCTCAGCTACAATGAATTACTCAAGGAAAGGTGGGCCCTGGAGAGAGGGAGAGATACAGACAAACAGGATCTAGGCCATGTGTGGTCTAAACGGTGAACTAAAGGATTGGTTAGCACTATGTCTAGGTTGATAGACCTGGACTTTGGGTTGTGGCTCAGGACTGGACAGTTGGTAACTCAGGAACAAGAGTCAGACACTCAAGATAGGACAAACACAAGAGAGTTCCTAGAGTGAGAAAAATACCTTTTTCAGCCATAGACAGATTGGGGTCACTGCAGGGTTTACAGGCTCCAACTACTTGCTGGAACAGGGCCCGCTGGAAGTTTGGTGGCTGAGGGAAGGAGAAAAATATCAAAGAGTGTAAAACCAGCCAGCTACATCTTGGGAGGCAGTGTCATGGACTACAGGATGCAGGACATTCTAAGCTCAGATGGGGATATCAAAGCAGTAAGATGGCTCATGCTTGAGATGTGCTGAGAGCTCCACAGCAGCCCTGGGAAGTCTGTTATGGTGTCCAGGTATATTCTGATCTGAGCACTTCCATGGATATCTGAGACATCACCCAGGTTCTCCTGTACAGGACAGAGGTGCCTTCCACCATTATTTAACTGTCACATCTTTCTGATGCAGGGAGACCACTGGAAGAAAGGATTTAAAGACCCTGTTGCTCCACTCTTGGAGAGCCCTACCCAGACCCATGAGGGGAGAGAAATGCAGCAGCCAAACCTGGAGTCCAGCAGGTCCCATTGCTCTGATGAGTAGCTCCCATCAGATCTGACCTCTGCCTGGCAGAGATGTGCCACTGAAAAACTCCTGGCATTGTTGGGCCTAGGACAAGTTACTTGGAAATGACTTTTATGGGCTTGGATGGAAAGGGAGGGGCACACTGCACAGGGTCAAGTGTTACTTGCTGGCCCAAGCAGGGTGTCTATAGAACTAAGTTTAGAGGGCAGCCCCAGCAAGACACAAAGACATTTCCTACCGAATGCGCACTACAGCCTTCTCAGGATGTTAGAAAAACCAACTTCCTATGCCAGAGGAATAGGGAGTGGGTAGTCCAGAAAGCTGGCCAGAGGTTTAAATTGATAACTAAGCCTGTCTAGATACCTGCTGCCAGTCTGCTCATACCTGCACTCTGTCTTGACTTCTGGCCCTCAGATTCATTATCCTCCCCAACCAGGAGTCCAGCAGCCCAACCCTAACAGCCTTCTTACAGCAGAATGAGGGAGGCACGCAAGCCTGGACAAAGGTTTAGCAAATGCAATGCAGGAGCCTAAGCCAACACACTTGTAGCAGAGGACAGTTAGTCAGGACTAGATCTGCTACCTGTCCATTCTCCAGAATGGCTGCTGGATACATGGCACTGCTTGGGCGGTCCCGATGTGTGGGCAACAGCAACATCATTTCCCGGGCATGTCGGTACTTATCTGGCAGAGAGGGAGAGCCTGTAACCAAGTGAGAACAATCACGAACAGATGACAAACCACAGATGGAGGAGGGCTCAGTGGCCAACATCCTTAGGACTGGGGACCAGGGTAGGTGTCCCTTACAGTTAGGGTGAGCTCAGCAAAACACAAGAGTGAACCAGACCTAGTGGCCACATGGTGGAGACTGTATCTGGTCCCTTGGCTGAGGTGTACCCACTGACAGAGGCTACCGTCATACCCAGAGGAAAAGGGTAAAGAGCTAAAGCCTGGTGCAGGCTGTGTGGGGTTTCTGAACATTGTGCTCTCAGGACAGAGGTGTGGCCTGGACACTGGCCTCTTCCAGAGGATTCGGGTGTGAGCCAAGGCCATCTTGTAATGGAGTCATCACACAAAGACAAAGAGACACTTAGAATAACAATCACATAGCTGTGACTTGACATACTGGGTCTACACACACTTACCTTCTTCAAAGGCCAGTGGTTCTATTTTAGCTGGCTTCCTACTGCCTTTGTGGCATATCCCTCCCAGAACCTCGAGTAGGCTCCCAGAACCTCGAGTCTACCTACCTGTCAGACCTACTATAGCTCTACAGCCAGGCTGGAAACCCAGGTCCCTGCATACAGGTGGGTCTGATACTTGCTGGCCCTTGAGCTCACAGGCATGGAACTAATCCAGAAGTCAAGGGACTTGTACTCAGGCTCTTTTGTTGTTGTAGTTCTCAAGACAGGGTTCCTTTGCATAGTTCTGGCTGCCCTGGAACTCACTCTGTAGACCAGGCTGGCCTCGAACTTCAAAGCTGCTTGCCTCTGCCTCCAAGTGCTGGGATTAAAGGCATGCACCACCACTGCCCAGCTTCCTTTGTTACTTTTCATGAAGCCACCATAGTGATTCTGGCTGAGGTACTAGTAATGCACTGAGGAACTTCTCATTTATGGTTCTTAAGAAAACTTTCAATAGAAGCAGTAAGATAATGTGCTAGCTTTCCTGTGATAGGGTAAATGAACAGTTCTGCAAACACACCCTTCACTGCATCAGACAACATCCTATCTACCAGTCCCTTCATGGCAAAGTCATCTGGACTTCAATGCTTCTGACTCAGTGCTGAAAAGCTTGGCCATGGAGACAAGCCTGTGGGCTCTAGCTGAGAGGTGAATATGCAGATCCTAGAAGGTCTCCTAATCCATTAAGCCTACTGTCTCTGGGGCTCTCCTCTGAGCCTGTGGTGCCAGCACAGTAAAAAGATCCAACAAATAAATCAAAGCAAATCCAGGTCTGTAACCAGCTTACTACTGTGGGAGTCCCTGAGAAATCCTTGTGTTCATTTTAGTCCAAAACGTCTGCACAGATACCAGAAACAACTTTTTTCACAGTTCTTTTTGTAACTCTATTGCTGTTCTGAGAGAACCTCTAGGCAGGCTGTAGGACCCTTATCTTTAAAATGTCCTTCACTGATAAGGGAATGTGTAAATTATGGTTACTTAAATTTCTTGTTTTGTGGCTTTACTGATATTCATGTTCTCTTTTAAAATTTGTACTTTAGGCAATCTCAAGAAGATGGCTATGTAAAAATAAAAAAAAAATTTTTGAGACAGGGTTTCTCTGGAACTCCCTTTGTAGACCCGGCTGGCCTTGAATTCATAGAGATCTACCTGTTTTTGCCTCCCACACTCTCAGATTAAAGGTGTATACCAAATCCTGCTGATTTGTCTCTGCCTTTCCAATTTGAGAGACTATGAATGCCTCTAAGCGCTGTGGACAATATCTGGACATGACTATCTACAAAGGACAAAAGCATCATTTAGATATCAGCTCAATCAAAAAGTCTATTTAATGTCCATACCACTCTAGGCATAGGGTTGGAATTGTTTCCCTTAGGCTTTGCTCTCTAACCTCAGGAAGCCTGACTCATGATACCAACTGTGTGTCCATTATGTGCTGTCTCTGTCCATGATGGTGGCTGGGATGGAGGAGAATCATCCTGAAGGTCTAGGGGCTCTGCTGAGGACTTAAATTCCAGTTGTGGTGGTCCTTGTGTTGTAACAAAGAAGTACTGTACACTACTTTTCTTCAATTCACTTTCCTAAGTCCTGGGCAGCCAATCCTCGGGTGGGGCAGGGTGATGTTAACTTTCATTAAGACATTTAAATACCACCAGGGCTTATCTGTCCCTAAGATTTTTAATTGTTTCAGTTGCACTCCAATAATACCTAGGGAAGTTGGGTCCTAGTGCCACTGGATTACAAATCTATTTCCCAAGCTTAATCAGCCTTTTGACCACCAGGGGGAGCCATGGACTTACAAGACTACTTTGCAGGTCTTCTGCAAAACTGGTAGGTGATTTAGAATCATCTAGGAGGTGTAAGTTAAAGGAGAAGACCCACCCCATAGGCCAGAGACCTAAGCTGAATACACAGAAAATCAGGAGGAAGCCAGTGAGTGAACCTTACACTCCGGCTATAATGCCTTCATACTGTGAGCTAAAATAACCCTTCCTCAAGTTGCTTGTCAGGGATTTAGTCACAGTGATGACAGAAGTAACCAAATATAGGTGGCAACAAGTAGCCTGAAATGTCTCTAATAGCAGCCACAGCACAGAGGAGCGTTAAGCTGTATCAGGGCTGGAGAGATGGCTCAGTAGTTAAGAACACCTGCTGCTCCCAGTGGCCCCATCCTGCAGCTCACATCAGTCTGTAACTCAAGTCCCGGGAAATCTGACATACACATAAATAATTTTTTTTTTAAAGCAGCATCATAGTATTTCTGAGCTAAAATATCCATCATTACTCTGTAAGACTAACCAGATCAAGTCTTGGATATGGCTGAGCATATCTAAGATATCAGGTTAAGGAAAACAACAAAGCCTGGATGGTAGTACGGTCTATTTCTCCAGCTCCAATGAGGGCACTTACTGAAAGACACTGTAAATACCAATGTCCAGACAGTCACAGCTATTCTTGGGCTTTCCTTCCTTTCTAGTCCCAAAGCCATCGTTTAGTAGGCTCTTTTCAGAATACATGGTCCTGTGCCTGTTTACAGCCTTCATAGACTGTGTTTCCTAAAGCTGGCCCCTCTTGTCTGGATCTCATAGTTTATGTTAGGAAAGAAATATAAATATAGGTAGAGGGCTGGTGAGTGTAAAGACATGTACCCCAGATTCAGCATTCCCTTCCTGACTGCACCTGTGAACATAGTCAAAATGTGCTTTAAGTTAAAGTCCATGGTCACTCTGCTGTAACCTTATTCACTTCTCTCCACTTTTAAAAGGTTTTCCTGGCCGAACTGCATTTTCCACCCATCACACTACATCACTTCTTTACATCCTGCCTACTGTGGGTCTCAAGGTTTGCATACTTTGGAGAGAGCCCGTGCTTAGTGTTATAAGTTTGTGCTGTCTTCCTTTGTATACTGGATAACCAGAACAAAAAGAGTTTATCCTTCTGAAGCTTTAAGTCAGAAACTGACTGGTTGACAGGCTCAGACCATTTTGCATGGCAAACATTTCATTGGAAAAAAACTGAGTTTTCTCCTCCTTTTACTGAGGTAGAGATGCAATACTGGCTACCAAGTAGCAGCATGATAGTAAATACAGCCGGAGAAGGCTCTGAAGTTAGCTGGAGAGGTGACCCAAATCTACAAGTTTGGGTGCTGAAAATGCAAGCATTCTCTAACACAGTGATAAGGTTGCTAGGCAGAAGGAGAGTGAATGAACAGCCCCTAAGAAGCTATCAACTTTTCAGGCATCATTTAAGGCACATAAATATCAATGTCAGTGACAAATATCATGATCAGTGGTAATACCCTGGCAGACATGGAATGAAAGACTGTTAAAAGGAGACAGATATTACACGCAATACAGAAAATATCCACAATGCTTATAACATTTTCAAGTGCTGGCCTTCCATGGCAAGATTAAAAATAAACAATACCTGCCCTTTGGTAAGTGATGAAGATCCGCAAACTGGTTGTAACTAAGGTTAGATCTAAATCAGCAACAAGGCCTCCAAACTGACCCCAAACATACAAACCCAAAAGGTAAACTGACAGCAATATATGCTGTTGTTTATTCATTACTGGCCCAAAGCTAAGAATCTAGAAGCTAAAACTGACAATAATAAATGTTTCTAGTTACTACTTCTATCTTGGGTGTGCCCTAAATTCTAAGCTACCCAGAACAAGTCTTAACTAACTACAAGGCTAAACCAAACTTAAATATTTCCTCCTCAGTGGGCCCAAAAGGTGAAACAGTGCTTTTATACTCAAGGCCTATGTCACTCCCCTGGGAAGGCAATTTTGTACCCCATCAATAAAAACTATACCACCAGGCCAAGCATGTTGGCATACCTTTAACCCCAGCATTTGGGAGGCAGAGGCAGGTGGATCTTGGATCTTTATGATTTTGAGTCAACCTGGACTATACATTGAGTTCTAAGATAGCCAGGGGCTACATGGTGAGAATCTATCTCAAAACAAACAAACAAACAAACAAAACTCCTAAGCACCCCCCCCATTCCCAAACCATAAAGGCTTTAGATGCTCAGTTCTCTCTTGTCCTCACCTTGTCTTCCAATACATCTTTGTTACTTTTCACTCTATTACAGATTCAGCTTTCACTTTCTCTTCTTTTTCCATTTCCCTTTTCTTGACACTTATGCAGTCCTAAATCTACTTTTCCCAACACTCTAGGCATTCCTTTTCCCAGTAATCCTACCTCAAAGATTTCCATTCCTTACTGCTGCTTCTTGTACATTTATATTGCTGAACATACCTGCTTTTTGACTAACCAGAAAGCATAACTTCTCTTTCCCTCTTCCATCTCTCTCTTCCAGGCTGCTGGTGAGATTTCCAGCTTGCCTGCCCTGTTATTTTCTCTAACTCCAATGAAATTTCCCTTTATTTTTCTTCTAAACTTGCTTTTAATTTTATCAGTCTACAAAAGAAATTCAGTGTCTCTTGGTGACAACAAGGCCAATCTCAAAGATGAAAGGAAGACAAGTAGGATTCATAAAACTTTCTATTCTCCTTCAGCAAGCATCCTGTCATCCTTACCTCGGGTGCTAGAAGGGGCAGAGGTAATCATCTGGGATGGTGCTGAATGAGTAGAACTCAGGCTGGAGGAAGAAGGGCTTGCCTGGGACGAGGACAGAACAGAGACGTTGGTGATTGAGCCCTGGTACCTGGGGTTGTGGTATGCAAGCTGCAAAGGAAAAAAAATCAGTACTTCTGAATGATCAGTACTGTAAAGCTGACACAGAGAGAGCTGGCTTATGCATTCATGTCCTGAAGTACACATGCTTTATTTTGAACCCTGTTGGAGGCTGGGCTCATAGCATTCACCAAGGACTACCCATACCATCCACATGGAGCAAGACAGCTGTGTTTGCTCTATTGTGCTACACATGAGAAGAATGCAAGACTTAGCCATCAGGATTGCCAAGCAGAAGGCTAATTTGTCAGAACATCTTTGCCATGCAATCTGGAATAGCAGCTAGGTCTGAAGCTAGGTTTCCTGCTTATAAAATAAGGTATGGGACCAAGACTTGGGGTGGTATACAGAAAGAAGGCAGTCTTGCTTGCTATGGAGAAGTGTGTTCTGAATCCAGAAACCAGGGGACTTGAGTTCCAGCCATTAGAACAGACTCCAGAAAGGTGAGTCGTCTAGTCATGATACCATGCTCACTCTTGCATAGCTCAGGTACCTGCATGTGGTGGTAGAGGTCTTCAGGAGCTTCACCCATAGGGTTGTCACCCATCATCACCATGTTTCCTGTTTCACTAGATGCATGTGAGGAGAGAGAGGATGATGAATGGCGGCCTGTGCCCATCAAGTTCATGGGGCTGTGAGCAAGAATAGGAAGTAGGGAGGAATCAGGCAATAGCTAAGAAAACATGCTAGGCAGTAGGAACAGTGGAGAGATGTGTTAAACAGTGATACTCAACCTTAGCCAGCACTGATTTGGAGGGTTCTATAGATAATGTTCACACCTGATGAGCCCCACTTTGCTACAGACTTGGGAAGGCTTATGCTAGTGCAATCTCTCTTTAGAGTCAAATGGATTATAGCCATTCAGTATGAAGGCACTAGTAGTTTATCAGGAGGAATGAAAGAGAGAATTGATAAATCAGGCCAAGGGTCCTATACCCTTCTTTCTATGGATTGTCAGTCTGAACAGTGCCTAATACAGCACACAGTAATATAAGATAGGCTCTGAGATCAGAGGTATCTTACTGCTATGAAGACATGATCAAAACAGATTGCTATAAACTATCTGTAGCTACAACAGACTCCCAACAACTTTCCTTTATCAATACTGGGAAGCTCTTTGTTCATTTTTTCCTCTTCTTATTTGCTGAGTGGCCATTCTTCTGAGTTGCTAGTCATGCTGGAAAATAAATCTAAGTGAGAGACTCCTTGTACTGGCTTCCTTTCCTAAACCTGGCTTTTCTGTTCTAAAGCTTTGAGTATTCCCACTCGAGCCTGCTCAGGTCAGAACTCTCGAGTTTTGAGCAGTCATTACTTGAATGCCCATACCACCAACATTATTCTCTTAGAAACAACTAACAGTCTTCATTCCCTTTGGGGTCATGTTCAAAGGTACATATGAATAAGGCCCATGGAGAGCTGGCCCTGGCCCCTTTCATGTTCAGGAATCCTACACCTCTGCCTTTTGGCTCTACTCATAGTGCTGGCTAGGCTGCCTTGTTCACAGCAGGCATGGGTAAATTCCTTTGCCTGGATCTCATCCCATTACTCTTCTAACTTGGACTCTTTTTCTGCCTAGCAAACTTCTGTCTGTCCCTCAAGACTTAGCCCCATGTTCCCTCCTCTGGGTATGCAGAATAACATGTGTATGCTTCTGTTACGTAGGACAGTGACTAACGCAGGTCAAATGCTACTATCTAGTACAAGGAGCTTCTTGAAGCAAGACTGTGGGGCTAGGAGATAAGAGGGGATGCAGCTCTTTCCTTCTCATGCGTACCCTCCACACTTCTTCTCTGGAGGGAACCTTCCTCAGCCCTAATGCCTTACCTGTGCCTGTGCGTCATCTTGATGTTCTCAGGACTCATAGGGCTATGGGATGCCAGAACATTTCCCCGTGGGGTGCTGGTGCCCGAACATGAAGGACTTAGCTTTTCCAAACCTGGAAATTCCTGTTGAGAAATGAATGCTTGTTCACAGAGAGCAAATAGATAAGTAAAGGGTATGAGAGATGAGCTGACTGCTGGTAAAAATGTAAAACAAATGAACAAACAAAAAGAGAACCATATGATATACTTCTGGTTTATTTCTGGACAATCACTCCTTCATTACCAAATACTCCCCTAAGTTCACTGGAGCCTAGACCAGATGCTGTGGAGCCCCAGGTAAACTCCACTAAGAGAGACATATCTGGAATAGTTGGAATTGAATCTGAGTTTATAGGAGAGTGTTTACAGGCTTCCTTACTTCAAAGTAAGTACAACAATGGCTGGGAAGAAGGAGAGCTGTCAGTCAGTACAAACTCTTATATAAGAACTGGTGCTAAGTTTTACTGGATTGCTAACTGGCCCAGCTCTTAGTAACCTGAGTTAAGCTGCCTGTGACACAGTCTATAGGGAGACAGGAAACAAAGTCCTGATGTAAGCAATTGAAAACAGCACAGTTCTGTTTTAGCATAATTAAATTCTTAATATGTAGACTTCTTGGCAGAAACTTCTAATCTAACTTCCCACTGGGTGACAGAAAGCATATTGGTCTCTGTCTCCGTGACACTAAGGAAAATTTAAAGCACAACTTTCCAGGTTTTCTCAAGTTCTTTATAATATATGTTGGACAAAAGCTCTTGTCTACTGGGTATGTTTCTGAGCTGGACTTAAAGTGGCACATTTTTCAACTTCTTTTTCCAAAGCAGGCATACTGTTACACACATAGAGACCTGATGCACATGGACAAGCACTTTGTGTCTTTTGTACAGTAGTCTGACTGCAGAGATGCGGCAGGGAGCTTTCCCATGGTGCCAGGCTCTAGGCTGCCTGGGCTACCAGTTGAGATGGGAAGTCTACATCGAGCAGAGCCCAGCCATGTTGGCAGGAACCAGTATACTGAGGTGGAATTCCCATTAGATTCAGGGATGCTGCTCAGGCTCTATTCTACCCAGCCACCTCAGTTTTAAAGGGGAAACACTGATGTTCTGCATGCTTCACTCTGAAATACTATGGGAGGAACCTCCGAGGAGGGTGAAATTTTGTGATCTATAGAAATTTCTCTGGAAAGTGGTCCAGTCCCTCAAACTCTTAGAGTTTCTATTCCTATTTTGCTTTTTTTGCTGTCCACTCTAGCAAAGAACCAGCTGAGGCCTGCACTGGAGGTCTGGAGAGATTAAGAGAACTACAACCTACAGCATCCAAGAACAAAGCAGGCCAGTTCCAAGTGGAAGTCCTTGGATGCTCAACCTTTCCCACGTCTTTACATCATTCCTAAAGAGGAACTTCTCTATGACAGCATCATCTAGCATCTGACAGCTACATTTCTTTGTTTCCCTAATACTTATAATTGGTAGCCCTCAGTAAAATGAGATAAGAGCTTGCCAGGTAGTGGCAGGTAATTTGGCTTATGGCCACTGAGGTCTGGGAGCCAGGATATTTAACAGAGAGGCTATTCTAGAAATAATTTAGCATCAGCCCGGTGGTTAAAAGTTAGGTAAGGATCAGCTCTTATAATCATCACAGAATTTATACTGGTGACAAGCCTTGAACATGTCAAGAATGTCAAAATTATTTTACCACATTTTCGTCTCTTAGAAGGCATCAGAAAATTCATGTAACTGGTAAGCTTCATAAATTTTTTTAGTATACCTTTATTGTACTAGTTTTCAAGGGCCATGTTATTACACAGATTCAAAGCCTTCAATTAATTTTCAAAGCTTAGCCAATACTAGGGAAGTCTCTTTAGGAAGCTCTGCACTTGCTACAAATTTGAAAACATTATATTGAGAAATGTACTTTATAGTCAGCAAATGTCTGTTGGAAAATGAACTATTTATGCATCAATGTTGGAAACATAATTATTCAAATATGTAAAATTACTGATAAGTGGATATTACTATTAGAAATGATGCATAGGGGGGCTGGAGAGATGGCTCAGTGGTTAAGAGCACTGCCTGCTCTTCCAAAGGACCTGAGTTCAATTAACAGTACCACATGGCAGCTCACAACTGTCCATTTCCAAGGGATCAGACACATTCATACTAATGCACATAAAATAAAACAAATCAGTAAAAAAAGAAATGATGCATAGAATAGCATTTCTTGAATGAATATTAGGATACCATGCTTTAAAAAAAAGAGTATAACTATTCCAGTGTTTTATGCATATTGTAGTATAGTGTTTTTTCGTAGTATGATTATATTTTATGTAAGCATTATTGCCATGCTAGTATTTGAGATTACATGTATATTACAGCCTTGTTTTAAATTTCTAGTGTATATCTTCTTCATAAAAGTGTTATATATTTTGAAAAAATTGGGTAAGGGTATATGACGTGAATAGGGGCCTGGGGACTCAGGGATGCCTGAATATTATCTTTGACCAGCCATCATTCCATGTTGAGACTGTGCCAAAGAAAACTGACCCTGAAATACAAGTCCTGCCTGTGCGCATTAGTTCTTGGGCCAAACTTGCTATGAAGGTAAAGAGGCAGAGCAGACTTAGGCAGACAATCTGGGGGCTGGTGTAGCTTTAGAACTGTCTGACACCTCTAAGAGCAACCAGAATTAAAGTACTTGCTGCCAAAAGCTTTCTTAGATGTGATCCCGGGTCACAAACATATTATAGAGGAAACTGAGATGGGAAGAAAAGAAGTTAGAGGGAAAGAAAATTAAGGAAGAAAAGAAGGTGGACAGATAAGGAGAAGGAAAGAGAGAAAGGGAGAAGAAAATGAGTAGGTAAAGAACAGAGATGACAAGAGGGCTGGTTCATGCCATGCCTTTATTCTTTAGGTTATTGGCAAGAAAAATATCTCAGAAATTCCTTTCTGTATGTGAAAAACTCTTACCTGTTAGCACAGTGCCCATTCTTTGCCTCTGAATCTGGCTCCTTTGGGGAGTGAGTGAACCAGCAAAGGATACTGAACACTCTGCTTTGGATGTGGTATCCACTACTGTCACCTCCCTACCCCTCTGTAGCAGGGACAGCTTCTCCCTTACTTCCCCTTCCCCCCTACTTTCCTTTGACTGTGGTATAGGCCTAGAGGAAGTGAAACCTGGTTCTAATGGGAAGGTATGGGGCTAGCTTACATGATACAGACTGGCCCTCATCATCTGGAACTGATCAATCAGCTTCTTATGCAGAGGCCGCATTTCTGGATGCACAAACTTCTCATGAACTGCCAGCCCAACTCCAAGAACATGGACCTATGAGAATTGCCAAATAAGGTCTCTATGTTAAACCTCTGAGAACAGGGTCATTTTTATAGTGTATAATTTTTCTCACTGGTTGTGGCCCTTCCATGCCCTACAAACCACACCTGTTCCTGCATCAGGTCTTTGAGCTGGGCGATCTTCTCAGCATCTCCTGGGTGCTTGGTGATATAATCTTTATCAAAGAAGGCCTGCGAAAGGAAAGGTAAGTTAATGGAGTCTCTTCCCAGGATCAGTACTCAGATGGAGCCCTTAGAAGGCAGCTAGGTTGCTTCTTCATAGCTGTCCTGCCGGTACCTCTAGCCTGGCCCAGTCGAAGAGTCAGGAATTGTGTATTTTCAGTGCCTGGGAAAGACTAGAGGTGGGTCCTAATCTCCCATGGCTGGATGCTTGCTCTAGCTTCTCACAAAGCTTGGCCTGCCAGGGTATGCTAGGCAGAACCGGTGGCCTGAGGATTTGTACCAGTTTCTTGGTACAAATGAGTAGCCTGGCTCATGAAGGACCTCAGGAAGCTACTTAATTTCTATAATCAAATGAGTTATCCATCTGACAGAGATTAGGGTGGGAAAAGACCCCACTGAAGGTCTGTACTACAGAAACAGAGCGTGGCCAGGAGCATACAACTCAACCATCTCAAACTACCTACCTCATCCAGAAGAGGGCTAGCTTGGAAGCTTTTCCAAGGAGGCTATAGTTTTAGGAAGAGGGATTAATGAACTGTGTTCTTAGCCAGACTGCCTGTCTGAATTTGCTCAAGGTTTCCATCTTACCTCCTGGTAGCGTGCAATGCCTCCATTGACAGCTGCATCAATGACACCATTCAGGCACATGCTAAGCAGATTGATGTTGCCGTGCACTTGTTTGTGTTGATACTGGCTGATCAGAGCTCGCAGCTCCTGGTTCTTATTCTCAACTACCTGGATGGCATTCTCCAGAGGACTCACCTCCACCTGTGGGTACACAACACAGAATCCTCTCAGGGATGCTAACCCCTCATCACATTCCTGAGAACAAAGAGCTATAAGTTGTAATGCTATTTCTCCTTTCTCATTTCTGTGGACATAACATTTCCTAGGCTTTTCTTTTCTGATTCAAGGTACTTGCAAGTACAGAGAATAGTGAGGAGTGTCAGATTAAAAAACCGGGGATTTCTGACTTCTTGAATCTCAGAGAATTTCTTTTTATTTGTAAACTGAAAAACACCTGATGCTTAGGAGTATCCTGTGGTCTAGATAAGAGAAGACATTAAAATTTCTGGCATAGGACTGGCCTTAGGGAACCAAGGCCAGGCAGGTGGCCAAAGTTTTTTCTTTTTTTAGTCCTCAGAGAAAGCTCCCTGGATATGAGGATATGAGGCTGAGGAGAAAAGAAGTGTAAACCTTCAGAGGCATAGCTTACCAGTTCCCTCCTTTCTACTTCAAACCACCGAGAGATGCCAGGCAAGCTGTGGGTCAGTGTCAGTGTGGTACGCTCAATCCACAGGCTCTGCAGGGAGGGCACAGATGAGTTAAGAAGCTAGACAAGTTTGGCTACACTTGGCCTAACTGAGGGATGCAAAAGTGATGTGTTCCCCAGAAGCGGGGCTTGCCCCTAGAGTTGCTATGAGCCCTGCATTCCCTTTCCTGTATCCTTTACCTTGAATTCATTCTCTTTGTCCTTGGGGCCTTTGTGGAAAGGTCTGTCATAGCGGAACTTTCTCACGTTGTTGACACGATAGAAGCTCTTGACGCGATCAGGCACTCTATCCATTTGTAGAACATCCACACAATCTGGAATAGGTGTCACTGCATAGATCTGTAAATCTGGACATGAAGTGAAGGAGAAATCTAGACTTGGCAAAGGAGAAGGTCGGGGTGGTATCCTCTTGTCATCTCCTAGATGAAGTGCATTATAGCCCTGTTCCTTACTGGAGCTGTGGGGCCACATCATCCTAAGGTGCAGATCAGACCTAAGCACAGTTAACCCTATCTGTCCCCTTCCTTCTCTGCTCCAACGGTGAATGTCATGACCATTCAGCCAAGGTAAGATGGCAAATGTCCTATGCTGCCCCTTTAAGAGTGCGATTAAGCAAGCAGATGTAATATCCGTGCCATAGGAATAAGTGTCTGAGCCTGCTCACAGTAGCTAAATGGCTTTTATATAAAACAGCCTTTTTGCTTTTCATTTCATTTCATTTCTCTCTCTCTCTCTTTTTTTTTTTTTTTTTTTTGGTGACATTAGGGCTTGAAACCAAGACTTTGGAATGGGAAAGATAGGTAAGTGCTTATCCACTGTATATTTTCATCCCCTTTTGTATTTTGACACAGGGTCTCACTAAAATGCCTAGGGTAGTGCTGAATTCACCCTGTAGCTAAGGCAGATCTTAAACTCGGTATTTTCTTGCTTTAGTGTCTCAAGTAACTTGGATTACAGGCCTGTGCCAAAGGCCCAGTCAAAACAACCTCTTAATTAAAATATTCTCTGACATCTTTGTGAAGAGAACATGGAACCTACTTACCCTCTCATCTCTGGAATAAGCTTGTCACATGATGACTAGCATATAATTTTCAAGAAAGCTGTGTAAAGTCGGTAGTCAGGGGTAGGCCAGTGTTTTCACTGAAACTTTCAAGTGCCATCAAATTATAGGCCTTCTCTAACCTCCTCCTCCCTGGCACTCTGCTACACGCAACTTAGCAAAGACAAGGGACAGTAACTGCACAGGAAAGAAGAGCAGGTTGCAGAATAGGTGGTAAACCTGTGGCTAGAGTCATGCTGGGACCACAACCCCTCATCCAGTGATTGGTCCTGACTGCCTGGCCAGGCTCCAGAGTCCAGGGTAGGCACTGAAGTCATGACAGTAACTAGCCTGACAACCAGTCCCTGAAGCTCAGCCTATGACCACGTATGAGGTCATCCATGGCTAATGGGATGCCATGCCACTGCCTCTTATGAAGACTGAGTATCCTGTCAAATGTGAGCTCAATAGTAAAGACACCAGGTTTAGGATGACAGCTAAGCTAAATAAAGGTAGAAAGCCGGCCACATGGTAGAGGAATGGTTGGCTGGGTGGGACTTACCTCTCAGGATCCCAGCCCTTCCTACTCTACCAAGTTTCAAAAGATACACTGAGCATCACACTGTAGGATGGCATCATCAGGATGGTTGGGGTGCTGCATAGCAACAGCTTGTGGGAACTCGCTGAGCATCCTCTGCTGGAAGGCTTCTAGCCTCTCGTAGTCATGACCACGGCACACATATTCTTTGTTCTGCCAAAAACATGAAAGCACATTCTATGCCTTGCATGTACCTTGCCTCCATTCCACATAGTAGCAGTTACTCATCCCATAAATATACCCTAGGAGCCTCCTTTATACCAGCCTAGGCACAAGTATAGGCACAGTACTCAGCTCCTTTCTTAAGAGAAATGACAGTAGAGAAGGAAGGAGAGGGACAGATGAAGAAATGGTACTCTGTGGTGTGGCAGTCCTGAGGAGGGGTACAGATAGCTGGGAACTTGGGGGAAGAAGGAATACTTTACCTGTGAAGGGAAGCAAAGTAGGGGAAGGGCTTTAGAAGAATCAATGTTTTCTAAAAATACCTAAAGTCCCACTTGGTTAGCCTACTGCAGAAGAGTGAGGACAAGCAAGCTGTGTGTGATAACAACCCAAGCAACAGCCAAACCACGAGAAGGCAGAGATGTTTGCAGAACTGGTGAGAGGGTGGCTGGAGGGACTAGCAAATGTGTGCTAAGGAGTGACTGCCATGGTGCTGACAGTTTTAAACGCGTGTATATCTATTGCTTAGTACAGTGATAAACCCCTTTGGCAGTAAATTTCTTTCCAAACACGTCTGCCAACACAACAAATCTCAGTCTTTCTCTCTTTCTTTCCTTCCTTTAGCCTCGGCCTCCTGAATGCAGCGCACATTTGGTCTGAGTTAGGTCTCAGGTTCTCTGTGGACTGAAGTCTCCATGTACACAGGACACCCTTAGCCCCTGCTGCTCTGCACAGCTCACAGCTGGTCACTCATGAGTGATAGCTAAAAGCCCAGTAAAGCTTACTAGAAGGGGGACTGGAGAGATGGCTAAGTGGTTTGAGAGTGCTTGCTGCACAACTATGAGGAACAGAGTTCAGATCCTAGCACCCATGTAACATTTGGGTATCCTAAGCAGACCTGCAATACCAGCTCTGAGGTGAACAGAGATAGCAGGGTTTACTGGGGTTTGTTGTCTTCCAGCCTAGTGGAGAAAATATGAGACCGGGGTTCAGGAGAGATCCTGCCCCAAAGAAATAGGGAAAGAATGACTGAGGAGGACACCTGACTCCACATTCTGGCCTCTGTGTGTGTACACACATGGTCATACACTTACACAGACACACATAGTCAAACAAATAAAACATTTTAAAAAAGCCTATTAGTCATACTGCCCAACTAGCTGGCACACCAGACCCATTTCAGCAAGTCACCTCAGACACTGGCATCCCTTATTGTCATGTCTTAGTCAAAGGGGGAGTTCTAAAGGTAGGGAAAGAAGAAAAAGAGAGGCAGAAAAGGCACATCACCGTAAGGGCAGCCATATACTTCCGGTGGCAGAGCTGATCACAGGCCAGGTTTTGGAGGACCTCAACCTAGTATTATGGATAAACTCAAATAAGACTGAGCCACATATTGGGGTGAATCAGGATGGAAAACTATTACCAGCAAAGTTCCTTATGTAGAGGTATACCTCCATGTATAAGCATATATATGTATACATATGTGTGTGTGTGTGTGTGTGTGTGTAGAGAGAGAGAAAGAACAAGTCATCTTTTAAATTTAATAAAATTTTTTTCAAGACAGGGTTTCTCTGTGTAGCGCTGGTCACTCTGTAGACCAGGCTGGCCTTGAGAACTCACAGATACACACCTGCCTCTGCCTCCCAAGTGCTAGTATTAAAGGCTTGCGCCACCATGCCTGACTACTTCAAGTCATCTTTAGGGTACATAAAATACAAGGATGTAAATTCTACAAATTTACAAAAATGTTGTAAATTCTACAAATTTACAAAAATCTACAAAAAATGTTGTCACACTGTATTATTTGGGGAATGATGACAAGAAAAACAAGTCTGTATACATTTGGTACAGGTGAATTTCCTGAAAATATGTTCTGTCTGTGGCTGGTTGAATCTGTAGATGTGGAACCCAAGGACACAAGGGCTGCCTTTATCTTTGAAGAACTAGCTTTTCAACATCCACTAAGATGCACACAATCCTCACAGACATCTTTTTATGTATCAAATGAAGAGAAATAGGATTCTCCCAAGAAAAGAGGTCTGGATATTCTTCCTGTCACCTTGAAGAGTAGTAGATAATACTATTTGTGAAGTGAGGGAGGCAGACGACCCAAGGAAAACAAGATGAGTGAGCTAAAGAAATAGATGCCCTGTGTATGGGGTGGTAGCACAGGAATAGCGGGGAAGGCCCAGTAAAAGGAAGGAACCCAAATGCTGACCTTGAGGCTGCTGTTAGTCTCATATTTACTTGTACACAAGTGCCGGTATCCCCACAAAAAGACAGGTCTGGTTGCCACTACTTTGTATTTTTACCATGTACTTCCATTTGCCGCAGATGAACTGACTGCTTAAGGAAGGGAAGGTATCATGAGCTTAAGCCAGGGAAATCTGTATGCTTGAATCAGCTAGTAGCTGCTACTCTCTGTACGCAGGCGCAATGGACTGACAAGTGATACTTCCTAACATTCTTTGTTTTTCTTCCGTTATTAGAAACTTTGAAACCATATTAAACATCCAGACTGTTACTTGCAAGCATAAGGTACAGGTTCTATGGCTGATCCTTCTTGTCCAAAATTTCTAAGAATCTGATATATTGATATGTTCTGTGGCATGTACATTAGAAGGTGAAAGTGAACTTAATTTTATCTTATGATAAAAATGGAGTATAAACTCACTTATATAGACCTATAAGATATGATAAACATAATGAAATCTATACACCTAAAAAAGATAATCGAGAGCGGACATGGGGTAAGATTATCAATCCTCGTTTTGAAAGACAAATGGGATGCACATTAAACATTGACAGGAGTCTACTGAGCGCATTTGAAAAACTCTAACTAGCAGTGTTTTCAAAGCAAAGACTCATGACCAAACCTTTGGCAGAGTACAGGGAATCATAAGAAAGAAGGGGAGTTAGTCTGATGAGGAAAGGATAGGAGCTCCACAAGGACCAAACATATCTGGGCACAGGGTCTTTTCTGAGACTGACATGCAACCAAGGACCATGTATGAATGTAACCTAGAACCTCTGCTCAGATGTAGCCTGTGGTAACTCAGTAACCAATTGGTTTCCCATAGTGAGGGGAACAAGGACTATTTCTAACAGGAACTCAGTGACTGGCTCTTTGGCCTCCCCACCCCCCAAGGGAGGAGCAGTCCTGTTAGGCCACAGAGGAGAGCTTTGCAGCCAGTCCTGAAGATACCTGATAAAACAGGATCAGATGAATGGGGAGGAGGTTCGCCCTATCAGTGGACTTGGCAAGGGGCACGGTGGAGATGAGGGAGGGAGGGACTGGGAGGGAATGAGGGATCGGGACACGGCTGGGATACAGAGTTAATAAAATGTAACTGATAAGAAAAAATAAAATAAAATAAAATGGAGTATAAAAACAAGATGGCAGTACATAGGATAAGTATTACTTGTTTGATTCCCAACAAGACACCATAATTTTAAATGAAGTAAATTCAATGCCTGTTGTGACTTGCTTGGAAGAGAAAAACATGAGACAACAAGCACTGAATTTACTTCATCCAAAATTATGATGTCTTATTGGGAATCAAACAAACAAGACTTATCCTAATACTGCCAATTTGTTTTCAGACTCCATTTTGATCATAAAGTGAAATTAAGTTTAGGTTTTTAGGCTCTAGGGGAGCTTTCCAGATGGCTAGCCAATTTCTTCCTTTTTCTCCTTTTGTTCCCCAAAACATAATGATTGTTCCTAACCATGAAAGAACAAATGATTCTGATTGCTGGCAAATTGCAAATTGTAACTTGGCACAAACATTTGTGGTTGTCAAGGTTAAAAAGTCTGTAACATTCTGGTTTGGGGTCGCAGTTCAGCTCCCAGGTCTGATCTGTGACCTTGATCGATTAGTAGTGGCCTGAGTACAATAAATTTTTGTCATCTGCTTGAATACTTACTAAGATGAACGTCTGAGAATGCAATTCCTGAGTTTGTGCTGTTCTCCCTGATTGGTCAGTTTCTGCTGCCTAAATCAAATAAAGATATTGCTTTGTGTGCACTCTTTTACCTGGTTGGGTTGCTCTGGACTTTTGGACCCTAACATTCTTGGAATGGTATCACAAATTAGATATGATTTACAAATTGGGGTTGAGAATACAACAATTAAGCATCCTTTGTAAAGATAAAAGAACCAAAGAAATTGATTTGTTTCAGGACTTTCTGGAGAGGCTCTTGGTTTCTAATTATTGTATACTCTCACCTATTTTATTGAATTTAGTTCAACTATTACTATTTTTTCTTTTTTGGGGGACAGGGTCTCATGTATTTCAGACTGGCCTCAAACTCACTATGTCCCCTAGGATGAATTTGACCTTTTGATCCTCCTGCCTCTACCCCCCCCCCAAGTGTACACTGCTACACTTGGCTCTCAATGCTATTTATTTAATTAGACAAAATCTCCCTATTTAAGAGCCTGCACTGCTCTAGAACCTACTATGCAACTCAGTCTGGCCTTGAACTTACAATGTGCCTACTTTAGATCCCAAGGGTTAAGACTGCAAGCACAAGCCATCACACCAGACTATTATAGCACCTCTGAGTATTGGAGTACCAAATGTGCCACTTCTGAAATGCCTGGGCTGGATGATCATTATAGGTCAAGGAATCCTGGTCCTCAGAAAGTTTGTTTTTACAACAGAGCTGGGATGTTCCTAGGGATCATAATTATCACGTAGAAACAGTTTGCTGACCCTCTTATATTATCTGTTATAGTATAGATAATTTTTTCTTTTAGCCAAGAATGAGTATTCCTAAAAAAAGTGAAAGCTGACCTGCTTTACATCTTAACTATGGATGTACTGACTCTGTTAGTAGACTAGGTCCCCTCTCCCCCCAACTGTCAGGGAACTAGCAGACTCTTGATATATTAAACTTGTTATCATTCACTGGCTAAAGCAATTTTCCTAATGAGATACTAAATATATTAAGAGGGTCTTGTGATCTTTCTCATTTGTTGGCTTAGGTTTGTGGACATTGAAATTTATTGGAACTGGGGACAGTCAGAGCTAGCTTTAGGCCTTAAATGCAGCTCCAGGACCCATCCATGAGGACAGCTTTATTTAAGTCATCCAAAACCAACAAATATTAATGGAACATAGTCTAAAGGCACAGGATGACTACTGGATCATGGTTTGCACTGAATAAATAAAGTCATACACCACCTTTGGGCTGAGCCATGGTAAATGTTCTGTAGCCTGACTTCTGTACCACTTCTCATGGAAGCTTCAATCCCTTGTGCAAATTTCCCCCTTTGTCTCTCATTCCCAGATTTAATAATGGAAATGCTAATTTGCCAGAAAATGACAGTATGGGAAAGGGCTATCACTGGATAGAAGTTACTATGAAAAAGAAGAAAATGAGGAAAGACAACTGTTAAGTTTGTTTCCTAATGATGGCATTTCCCCCCAGAAGAAAAGCTACAGCAGCCAGGGCACTGTAAATTGGTCTGCTGATGACATCATCAAAGATATAAAGAGCAACAACTTGGAAAACCTGCTGTAAGCTACTGAAGCTGTTAGGAAATTGCTTTCTAGGGAAAAATCTTCAGAGCAACATTATCCAAGCAGGGTTGACTCTAAAATTTGTGTCCTTCTGCAAAACTGATTATAGTTCCTTTCTGCTTGAATCTGTTTGGGTGCTAGCACTGACTGCTTCTGGAAAACCAGAAGAGACCAATGTTGTGGCTTTCTCTATTGGCATCTTTTCATGCTCACATTAGTGAGAAGCTTTATGGATTGTAGGACATATTGCAGATGATGGTTTAGTTCTCTTAGACTCAGTTATCAAGCATGGTGTAGTTGATTCACTATTAGTTTTCTGCAGTTCCTGATATATATTTAGTATGTGGTGCTGGTATAGTCTTATCTGGACGCCTTCAAATGTTTGTCACTTTAAGAATCCTGCACTCTCATTAGATGTTGTTAAACAACTTTTCCTACTTTTAGTTCATCTCTTGCATCAGGAAGATCCAGAAGCATTAGCAGACACTGCTAAGATGTTTCCTACCTTTCTCATGGTTCAAACACAAGGAAATGGTCATACAAACAGGAGTTGTGCTTTAACCTATGAAACTTCTAGGATCTGCTGAATTGCCGACTGTAACTCTCATACTAAAAGCTACAGAGAACACTGTCACTGGCACAGACGAGCATACTCAAGTGTGACAGATGCAGGAGTATCTGCCATATTTCCCGGCCTGCTAGCCTCAAACTAGTAATATTCAGAAGGAAGCTACAGAGACAATGTCAAACTTCAAAGATGGCTGTCAGGACCAGAAACAAGACCTACACCTTATGGACTAGTCCTACTTTTGATTGGTATTCTTTCTAATGCACAGTTTAAGATACTAAAGGAAATTGTATAGGCTGTGACTAACTATAAGAGTGATGGAAGGGTTGCACAGGTTGTATACTTTATTAAATGTGGCTTAACAGACCCACTGAGAAATTTCTTAACTGTGAGAGATTCTTAAAACATAACTCGTTATTCTGAATCATTCCAGTATCTTCTAGACTACAAACAAACTTGGTATAATGACTAAAGAGTATGTGGAGGATTAGGCAAATTGAGGCTCTACCAAACATTATAAAAATAAGCCTGTGAATAAGACATTATCAAGCTTAATGCAGAAATATTTCTGAATAGAATAAGATCAAGAACTAAGAATAGAGCTCACTTGATACAGTGCTTGCCTAGCATGAATAAAGCATTGAGTCTGATTATCAACACTGCATAATACCATGCTCTCAGCACTCAGGAAGCAGAAGCAGGATGAGCAGAGATTCAAAGTCAGTCTCAGCTACATAACTAGTTCAAGGCGAGCTTGGACTACATGACACACTGTCTCAAAAACAAAAATGAAAAACTAAAAACAGTAAGAGGATCAAAATGTGTCAGAAACTACTTCTGAATTCTTTACTTTCCAAATTTAGGATGGGATTACTGGGATCTTAATCTTAAATATTACAGCTGAGGCATGAAGTTGTCTGTTGTGTTATTTATGATATTGAACAAGTTTCTCTTATTGTTTCTTTAACAAATTTTTTTTTTGTACCTAAGGTCCTGCATAGTTCAGGTTGGCCTGAAACTCAAAATCTTCCTGCCTCCATCTCCAAAATACTGGGATTACAGGCGTATGTCAAGATGTTTCCCTTAACAATTCTCTTAAAGCGTAGTTTGTTACTGTAACATTAAAAAATTAAGGTATACTTGAACAGTAGTTCCAAACTATGCATACTATGTGAAGCCTGGCCTCTGAATGGGCGTCTTATTTCTATGTATAATTTCCTATCTTGCCGTGACCTGTAAACAAAGATTAAATTCCAACATTTATTTTGCATTGACTTAACTACTATCACTAGGTATATGACCAAGTCATCCTTTTGCACTGTGTATATTCTAGATCAGTCCTTTAGACATCTTTCTCCCATTGAAAGAGAGAAGTTGCTGTTGTATCCTGTGTCATGGAAATGGCTTCTTAGTCTTTCCACAGCTGAATTAGTGCTTGGAGCTCTCATAAGGACCTGAGAGCTAAGAGTACTCTCCTCTCAGTTTTTTAAGTCAACAATTCTCCGTCCTGACTATATGCGTTACAGTGCATTCAGAAGAACATAATCATCATTTAGATGAACACCCAAGAAGTGTGCCTACTGTTGAGGTCAGGCTACACTAATGCTACTAGCTAAGATGAGCCACAATGAAGGAACTAGAGGCAGAACTTGGAAGGTACCTATATAAAAGATTTTTGGGCCCTAGTCACTTCCTGATACATTCCTAGTAAATACAGAATAATACTGCACATCAGAATAGAATTGAAGGCGGCAGCCAGTATTGTTAAACTGAGCCAAATATAGTCTGTTGACTGATCGGTCCTTTGGAGAGAAGTGGTCAGGAGAATACATGAAAAAGAAAGGAGACTGTACAAGTGTTAAGTGAATTATGTATATAATATAAATGTTCTTGTGGGATGGGGAGATGGTTTAGTTGGTACCTGTGGTGCAAGAATTAGGAACTAAGTTTGGACCCCCAGAATGTATGTAGGAAGCTGGTCATGGAGGTATGCATATCTAACCTTAGCACTGGTGATATGAAGATAGATAGATCCATGAAGCTCACTGACCATACAGCATAACTGAATTGATGAGCTTCAGGTTCAATGAGAGACCTTTTCTTAAAAATAAAGTAGAGAAACTGCTTAGCAGTTAAGAGCACCCACTGCTCTTGCAGAAAATCTGAGTTAATTTCCTAGTACCCACATGAGAAAGCTCACAACGATCTCTAACTCCAGGCCCACAGGGATTCAGTGCCTTCTTCTAGGCTCTGCAGACACTTGTTTTTTAATTTTTTTAAAAATTTATGGCTTAGTTACAGTTTATTTACTTTGTATCCCAGCTGTAGCCCTCTCTCTCATCCCCTCCCAATCTCACCCTCCCTCCCTCATTTCCTCCCATTCCCCTCTCCAAGTCCACTGATAGAAGAGGTTCTCCTCCCCTTCTATCTGACCCTAGCCTACCAGGGCCCATCAGGACTGGCTGCGTTGTCTTCTTCTGTGGCCTGGTAAGGCTGCTCCCCCCTCAGGGGGAGGTGATCAAAGAGCCAGCCACTGAGTTCATGTCAGAGACAGTCCCTGCTGGGAACCCACTTGGACGCTGAGCTGCCATGGGCTACATCTGTGCAGGGGTTCTAGGTTATCTCTATGCATGGTCCTGGGTTGGAGTATCAGCCTCCAGGTGTTGCTGCTCTATAATATTGTCATAATAGCTGGGCCCAGATATTTTTGTACTGTTGCTGTCCTTGTGGAGCTCCTGTCCCCTTCAGGTCTTTCCATCTCCCCGTTCTTTCATAAGATTCCTTGCACTCTGCCCAAAGTTTGGCTATGAGTCTCAGCAATCTGATTGATATCCTGCTAGGTAGAGTCTTTCAGAGGCCCTCAGTGGTAGCCTCCTGTCCTGTTCCCTGTTTTCTCCTTCTTCTGATGTCCATCCCGTTTGCCTTTCTAAGTAAGGACTGAGCATCTTACCCAGATGCTTAGCTTCTTTAGGTGTACAGATTTTAGTATGTTTATCCTATATTATATGTCTAATATCCACTTAGAAGTGAGTATATACCGTGTGTGTTTTTCTGCTTCTGGGACACCTCACTCAGGATGATCTTTTCTAGACCCCACCAGTTGCCTGCAAAGTTCATGATTTCCTTGTTTTTAATAGCTGAGTAGTATTCCATTGTGTAAATGTACCACAATTTCTGTATCCATTCCTCCACTGAGGGACATCTGGGTTGTTTCCAGGTTCTGGCTATTACGAATAAAGCTGCTACAAACATGTTTGAGCAAATGTCCTTTTTGTATTCTTGAGCATATTTTGGATATATACCTAGGAGTGGAATAGCTGGATCTTGAGGAATCACTAGTCCTAATTGTCTGAGAAAGCACCAGATTGATTTCCAGAGTGGTTGTACAAGTTTACTCACCCGAAGGAAGAAAGGAAACTTCCTGCCATAAAAGCCAACCCGGAAGAACTCAGGCTCCAGGCGTTGCTGCTCTATAATGTTGTCATAATAGCTGGCCTCCATTTTCTGTTAACAATAAAGGTGTGGTTAGTATGCCAAGCAGTTTCTCCTAGGCTCAACTAGATGCTGTCTTCTAGAGAGGGAGCATGACAACTCAATCTAGCTGACAAGGAAGTAACCTTTAGATACTACCAGCCTCTCTCCAGGGAATTGCATTATGGAAGGGGAAAGCCCTCCTTCCTTCTTCACTGCTATCTGATGACCAGATAAAGACAAGCCTGCCTACTGTATCCCTGTGAGGTTGCTCATATTCATCCTGGGCATGGACCCAGATCCACAGAGATCTGAGGCCTGAACTTGAAAAATAACTATTTAACATGGATTTGACGGACATTCGCTATACTAGCTGATCTTTGAAGAGAGTTTCTGGTAGCTGTCTACTAACAACTCTCATTACCATTACATGTCAGTCTATCTGCATCCACTCTTCATCTATTATTTGACTTAAGATACTATTAACTACAATTAAGAAGCTTCAGTTGCCAGCATCAGTAGTACTGGTTCCAATTTAGGAATTTTTAAATTTGAAAAGATAATTAATGTTCATGATGTCCAACACTACAAAGTCAGCAAGTTTTTCATTATGGCTATTTAACCATCATTAGGCAGTAGCCCTTAAAAATTAGCCAAAAATGTACTTTAAAGAATCATGTCCCAATGTAGACTAGAGATTTCTGGTCTTTGCTCAAATGGCTTAGACATAGAGGAGGGTGGAGTGGATGATGCCCTGATACCACTAGTCTTTCTCTGCTGATGAAACAATAAGATGTTACAACTAAGAAGATAGTGTCAGCAATAAGGAAAGACTTTATAAGGACTTTCAAAATCCATGGGACATTTGACATAATTTTTGAATATTTTGCTTCAAAGAAGGGAGCAAGGACAAAATGCTTAAGTAACTATAAGATACAGTTGGGAAAACTCTCACAATAAACATTTTTTAGGTATCAGTGAACCCTAAGAGCAGTACAAGCCTGGTGATCTGGGTTTAATCTCCAGAATCCACATAAAGATGGAAGGATAGAATGGAACCCACAAAGTAGTTTTCTTACTCTACACATGTACCTCATCATGGATGCCTTTCTTATATCATGAACACCCACAAATAATAAAAGTTTTTTAAATATGCCACTGAACAAAACCATTTCATGAAAAACTTCTTCATGAAGCTAGGAGGTTCCCCATCCTCAGAAATCCCTATCCTGTCATGCCTTCTTCTTTCCCTGAGTACAGGTGGCTTTTGGTGTTAGGATCACAAAATCATTTGTCAGGCATGTGCTTTTGTTCCCCAGTCAGACTGCAAGTATCTTAAAGGCAGAAACCTAGCCTCTGTCCATGACATTGAGCTAAGGGCCTTAGGAATCGTTTCGAAACAGATGCCAGGAAGTCCAGTAGCTTTTGGCTAGGGATACAGTGGACAAGACAAAGCTTACCCGAATCCAGCTGAGGCTTTGATAGTCATAAAGGCTCTCATACTGACATGCCAGCTCTCTACAAAGAGGGATCCCAAACTCCCAGCTCTGTATAAAAAAGGAAACAGGGCTTCAGCATCTCAGAATGGTTAAGTCCACTGAACATATGAAAGACTAAAACAAAAGGCCAGCTCCAACTCATATATTACAAAGAACATTGTCTTCAAAACCAATTCCAGAGAGTATCACACAGCACTGTGGTCTTCTTGCTCATGTAGAGATTTCTAGGTTTTGCTCAAATGCCTTAGCCTCCATGTCTCTCTTGTCTACCTCTACAAGAAGACTGCCTCTTTGGTCTGTTATTCTTTTTTTTTTTTTTATTACAAATAATAAAAAATGAATCTTGTCTGTTCTATTCTTTTTTTATTATTATTAATTACACTTTATTCATTTTGTATCCCCCCATAAGCCCCTCCCTCTTCCCCTCCCTATCCCACCCTTTCTCCCCTTTCTGCATGCATGCCCTTCCCCAAGTCCACTGATAGGGGAGGTCTTCCTCTCCTTCTTTCTGATCTTAGACTATCAGTTCTCATCAGAAGTGGCTGCACTGTCATCTTCTGTGGCCTGGTAAGGCTGCTCCCCCCTCAGGGGGAGGTGATCAAAGAGCAGGCCAATCAGATTATGTCAGAGGCAGTCCCTCTTCCCATTACTAGGTAACCCACTTGGACACTGACCTGCCATGGGCTACATCTGTGCAGGGGTTCTAGGTTATCTCCATGAATAGTTCTTGGTTGGAGTATGAGTCTCTGAGAAGTTCCCTGTGTTCAAATTTTCTTGTTCTGTTGGCTCCTTGTTATTCTTATCTCATTTAAAAATTTATTTTTTTGTTGTATTAGTCTAGATTAGATTATGTATTTATTTTTAAATCCTAGAGCAATAACAGGTATGGTAGCTACTCAGTATTTCTTAAATAAGTTAATAAAGGGACTGTAAACTTTTTAGAAGAGATCAATTGCAAAAAAAAAAATATGGCAATCAAGCAGAAAGAGGCTTCTACACACCTGGCAGCAGCCTATAACTTTAGGCTTCAGATGTTCTTTGCCTAGTTGGAGAACAGACTCTTTCCGTGATGCAGTTCCTGTTAAAGCAATAGGCCCATCTAACTTGCCTGAAGAAGGTGGCAGTGGGCTTCATTCTAATGACCTGTTCATTTTCTTCATTGTTTTTTTTGTGGTGCTGAGGACTCAACCCAGGGACCTGTGAAAGCTAGATAAGTTCTCTACCACTGCACTACACCTTCATCTTAACATTATTATAGTGTTTTCTTCCTCTTGGATACTTAAAAACATCAGTTTATATGATATTTAACTCAGTTTATTCTTCCCAAACTCCAAATTCTAATTCAGACTTACACATGATGAATTTAAGATATTCATCATAAACCTCAGTTACTCTTTGTTTCTAACAAACATGTCCTAAACTACAGCAGAAATTGAGGGGATGAAAGGCTTGCTTTCTGACACCTACTTTGCCTTTGTTGAAGTAGTGGATGATTTTCCTACACAGTCCCTCTTTCCTCTGCCACTCAGTTTGGGATGGGTAGTGTAGGAACTCCCGTAATGGCCGGTCTTCCCATTGCAGCAGCTCACAGTAAAGAAGCAGGGTGAATGCAGCCTCTGTAGGAACAGACAGCATGGTGGCTCAGGGTTTCCTCTGGGGGCCCAGGAACAGCTCTGCTAGGTGGTCCATGGTGAGCAAGAACATCAGAGCAAGGCATGGGTAGCACAAATCAGGAATACTGGATACCAAAGGTAAGACAGTAGGATTGCTAAGCTAATATAACCTTTGTTCACAGAACAAAGGAGCCATTAAGTGCTCCCAGTACTTGATCACTTGTTTTGAGTTCCAGATAAAGACTAAAGAATGGTTCACATAAGAAAACCTACTATGGTGGAAGCTTATTCAAATATATACAAATGTAAAATGAATTTAAATGGAGTCATTATATAATGGGGGAGATGATGCCTCAATTAGACATCTTTTATTTTTTGTTATTTTTAAAAGAGTCTCAAATCGGGGCTGGAGAGGTGGCTCAGTGGTTATGAGCACCGTCTGCTCTTCCGAAGGTCATGAGTTCAATTCCTGGCAACCACATGGTAGCTCACAACCATCTATAATGTGAATTGATTCCCTCTTCTGGCAGATGTAAATGCAGGTTGAACACTCATACATAAAATAAATAAATCTTATAAAAAAGCCTCAATGATTTCTTTTAGTTTATTTTTATTTTCCATGCATTGGTGTTTAGCCTGAATGTATGTCTGCATGAGGATGTAGGATCCCTTAGAACTGAAGTTACAAACAGCTGTGACCTGCCATGTGGGTGATGGGAATGGAACACGGGTTCTCTGAAAGAGTCATCTCTCTAGTCCCCTCCCACCCCACTCCCATTAGATATCTTATGTCACCAAGCAAAACCTCTAGTGCCAGGAATGTGTTACATCTTGTTGAGTTGTTGGCCAAAAGGGTTATAGAGAGCACCCTAAACATCACCAGCCATCCCTAAAACTATTGGTTATTCTCTACAATCTGATGGTGAGGCTCTGTTGCTGAGGACACCACTTACTTCTGTCATCACACATTAGAGAAATGGAGCTGGACTTCACTTTCTACTGACCAGCGTTCGTGGTACTGGAAAGTATTCTGCACATTACTGGAGGTATAAAATAATCATCAGTATAACCCAGTTACAAACTCTGTGACTCACAACAGCAGCCTGCAGACAGACTGGTGCCGTGGTGCAGCAAAGAGGAGTGACCAACTACTGTCTGGGGCCTTCTCCGTGAGACGGGGTCCTCACCTCCCGCTGCTCATGTGGCCAAGATGGCCAAGACTTGATCAGTCAGGGCCTGGGGGAAAAATCTGCTCCTATTATTCTCCTAACAACATAGTACTACACCCATAGATCAGTATCTTGCTCAACCCTCATTAGAGAAGCTTCTTTTTTTAGTGGATGGTAATTAACACAGAGACCCAAGTGAACACTATGCAGAGAGTAAGAGACTTTAGAGGACTCAGTCTTAAATTCGATGAACTCATCAAATTCCTGCCCTCAAGCCCTAGGAAGACGAGGCGGAAAGATTATAAAAGCAGAAGTGATAAATGACTCTAAGGAAGCAGCACCTTTCAGGCACCACAGAACTGATGCCTGTGTGAACACACAAAGACTGTGACAGCAGGTATAGGATCTCAACAGGTTCAAACCAGACAAAGTGCCAGTTCTAAGAGGAGGTGGACACAAAGTTTCACTCCTAATCAAGAAGCTGTTTGCAATTGATACCCCCTGGGAAAAAGGAAGTTAGTTTTCTAAAGTGGTGTCTCTCTGTGTGCATCAAACACACCCCAGGACAGGCCCCATGCCCAGAAATAGCTGGCTAACACAAAACAGACCCCATGGTTTTTTGAGGTGGGGGACTTTTGTTTCATTTTGTTTTGTTATTAATTCTTATTAGTTTTTTGTTTTGTGTTTTCAGTGTTCTCGAGAGAGGAAGAGAGACAGAGGGAGAAGAGAAAGGGAGGGGAGGGAAAGAGAGAAAAAGGAGGAGGAGGAGGTTAGAAAGAGAGAGCATGCATGCATGAAGTTGGGTGGGTAGGGAAGAGGGAAGGGTCTGGCAGGAATTGGGAGAGGAGAAATACTATGATCAAAGCATATCATACAGATTTTTTTTAACAGATACTTGGCAGTTCTTGGGTTCCTTTCTGTTCACCTTATTAACACCTTTATTTCTGACATTCTTAGAATTGGTTCTAATTGGTTAGCACCAATTCATCAAGGCTTCCTCCAGCACTCCTCAATCTTTTCCTGCCTAATACCCCAGGGAATGTTCTTTCTGCTTATTGCTACTGTTTCTAAAAGGATGAAAGTTAAGGAATGTGAGTAGAATTGACTATGGGGTGAGTGTAGAGCCAGAGATTCTGTTTCTGGAGGGACTTGATCCTGGCCTCAGATGTAGGCTTAGCAATACTTTACATATGGAACAATTAGTGACAGTTACATAAAGACACAGCATGTAAGTAGTGTAAATTCCACAAGATGAGTCACATTGAATTACAGCCATCGTCCAGAGTCCTATTAAGGAATTCTCTTTCTTCTTCTGTTTGGTAATTTTTAATTGCCTTTCCCCACTGGCAAGTTAATAGGTCTAGCTTCTGCCTGGATCTCCAGGCCATACTAAAAAGTGCTCTCAGGATTATAAAGAATCTAATTTCTAATCATCTTGTAATCCATTTTTCACCCTGGTCCACTCTGAGCTTCTCATTCTTCACTCTCTACCTGTGCCCTGACATTGACACCTCTTGGCAGGCCCTCTTTATGGAGCTTGGAGAATCATGTGAAATCTTCTTCTTCCTTGTTGTGCTGGCTAGTCTTAGGTCATTTTGATAGCCAAATTGGAGTTATCTGAAAGGAGGGAACATAAATTGAGAAAATGTCTCCAGAAAATCCAGCTATAAGGCTGGATTAATTAGTAATTGATGGGAGAGGGCTCGGCCCATTGTGGGTAGCTCCATCCTTGGGCTGGTGGTCCCGAGTTCTGTAAGAAAGCAGGCTGATCAAGCCAGGGGGAGCAAGCCAGTACCAGTACCTACTATGGCCTCTGCATCAGATCCTGCTTCCAGGTTTCTGCCCTGTTTGAGCTCCTGTCCTAACTTCCTTTGATGATAGAATAAAGATATGGAAGTGTAAGCCAAATAAACCCTTTCCTTCCCAGCTTGCTTTTTGGTCATGTTGTTTCATCGAAGCAACGGAATCCCTAAGACTTGTTATTTTTACATGTAACACCTAACGCTACAAAAGACAAAGTGTAGCACTTCTCTGTTCACATCCATGACTCAGCCTCTTAAGTGATAGCCAGTACTCAAGTTTAGCAAATGTCTATGCTAATACACAGATGATGATGATGATGATGATGATGATGATGATTATTATTATTTTTAGCAGAGTTTCTCTGTGTAGCCTTGGCTGTCCTGGACTTGCTTTGTAGACCCAGCTGACCTTGAACTTACAGAAATCTGCCTGCCTCTGCCTCCCCGAGTGCTGGCATTACAGGCTGGCTATACACGGAATTTTTTATATTTTACTTATTTTCATGAGCATGGGTGTTTCTTTTGCTTGTATGTTTGTGTACCATATGTATGCCATGCTTGCAAAAGTCAGAAGAGGACACTGGATCTCCTGCGTCTGGAGTTACATACGGTTGTGAGTGCTAGGAATCAAACCTGGGTCATCTGGAAGAGCAGCCAGTGCTCCTAAGCACTGAGAAATCTCTCCAGCCCAGTACAAGGAGTTTATTAAAATCTTTCCCTTCACCATTCTTTCAGAGTTGTTGAGATAATGATTAGTCAGTATAAAGAATGGTCATGTTATGCAATGCCATATTATTTCTCCTAAAAATATTTATTTACTTACTATGTATGAGTGTCTTGCCTGTATGTATATCTCTGTGCACCATGTGTATGCCTGGGGCCTTTGAGGAGTGAGGGAAACACTTGGATTCCCTTGGAATAGAGTTACAGACAGTTGTGAGCTGCCATTTGGGTGCTACAAATTGTACCCAAACTGGAAGAGCAGCCAGTGTGCTTAACTGCTTGCCATCTCTCCAGACTCTCTTTGCATCTTTTAAAGATCGTCTCACTACATATCCTAGACCTACCGCAGACCCATCTCCTCATGTTTCAGATTCCTGAGTATGGACAGATCAGTCATTTAGTCTGTCTTGTTCTTTTTTCCAAGTTGTGCTAACAGAAAAAAATAGTATATATATATACTACTTTCTAACATCTAAAGACAAAGGTAAGGAAGGAGGGGTCTCTGTTTTTACTAATTCTAGTTAAGATTTGCAAATAAGAATAGATCACATTTCCACATTTAGATGACAAATTTAAGTCCTTTAGTCTTAGGGATAAAAATAGGGTATGTCACAGTTCTTCGGGACACTATGGTACAAGGGAATCACATAGAACATCCGTGTATGCATCCTTCCTGTTCATTCAGAGCTATTCTCAGTAAACAGTTCATGACAGGTACTTGCATAGACTGTAGACATAAAGAAAAGGCTCTTATCTAGCCTGTTAAGAAGATGAATACTGTCCAGACTACACTGGGAGCTCAGGGTTGGAGTTGTGTGCAGCTGCAGAGGAAGAGCCAGTGAGTTCTAGGGATTCCAGGATTAAGGAGATATTCCTTTGTTATGGTCTTGGTTAATTTCAGCTTTGCAAGACCTAAGAAAAGTTCTATTTGTGAGGAGTGACAGAACTCCAAATTTTCTGAACCTGGTGTACCAGACTTTGGAAGTTACTTTTGATTCTCAGAGACATGGATAAGAGTGTAGATGAGTGGAATAGCCCCAGACAGTAGAGGACATATTGTCACCTGATTTTTCATCACTACAAAGGAGTAGAAGGACAGGAGTGAGGTGAAGGGAAACCTTGGAATCTAATGCTTCTGAGATCTGGCAGGATCAGTCTTTCTCTATATAGGCCCCCAAGTCTGTCCCCTAATGAAAGACACAGCTCTTCCCTTTCTCAACTCACCTGTGTAGTTCTCAGCCTGTAAGTGCATGTCACAAAGCTTATGGATGTATCGAATATACATTTCCTCTTTGTTAATCTCAGATTTGTAAAAGTTCTGTAAGAGAAGGAAATGTATGTAAGATGTGAGAGTCTGCCCCTCTTTGAAGGTAATTTCCAGGCTCCAGCTAGCCTGGCTTTGCCCATTGAGAGGAAGAGCTCATGTCCTCTCACCATCAGGTTGACAGTGCAGCCAATTTTCTTGTTCTCTGTCTCTTCTCCTTTCATGCAGTCCCTAGAAGAGAGAACACAGATGACTGCCTATGTTATGAAGTGGTATCTCCTGGGACAATCACTGGAACATTACTATGGCCAAATCTAAAAGTAGTATGCCTTCTAACAGGAAGTACTTCAACAGGAGATGACTGTATTAGGAGATTCCCCTCAACTTTGCACCCAAACCTGGGATTCAAAGATCTCTGTTGAGCTCCTTGTTCTGGCTGCAGAGTATAGAACCCAGATGCATTATTAGGAAATTAAGTGGCACTTGCCAATTTCCTTAGTACAGAAGGATGTGTCTATTAGGCTGAAGACCAAATTCTCAAGTTCCCCAGGGAGGCACAGAGTTATTCTTAAAGAGCAAGTTTCATTTTGTGAGAAAATGTGAGACAGAAGCTATGAATCTATTCTAGAATTCACATAAAGCTGAGGAGGTACCTCTTAGAAGACTTAAAGCTTGGCTAGTCTAAAAGTAAGTCTCACACCAAAAGTCCAAGTCATGCTTGGCCACAACTTACTGGGAAAAAAAGCTCTTAAAACTTTATAACATATCTAAATGTACTTAAATGTCATATACTTATATATAAGGTTTTTATTACACACACATATACTGTCAATAACTTTAAATTCTTGGGTAGAGAAAAAGAATCTCTTGATTTTGGCATAGTCTTCCCTGAAAGTTCATCTGATTGACCTTTATTTACTGTGCACCTACCAGGGATAAGGAGCGTACCAAGGAAAAAAAAGCTCAAGGTTCCTGCCTTCAAGGAGTTGACTCTTTTCTGTCAAACCGAGTCAGAGAGGTGGCAAATGACAGGTACTCAGGGTATGCAGAGAAAGCCAAGTGAGCTCCTGGCTGAGGAAAGCTTCCCTGAGGGTTTGGACTTGGATGGGATACTCTAGGCACATAACACAGCATAAAGAAGTCTGAAGAAAAGAGATCAGGGAAGAAAAATATGGATGGGGATCTAGACCACAGCCTTTGAATCAGCTGGAAGTTGGCTCAACTTTTGACAACAGAACTTCTCAAATGTACTTCTTAATTGACAACTATAAGAGTAACCCTTCATGGTTGCAAATGAGATTAGAGGCAATGTATGCACAAAATTAACATTTTTTTAAAGCTACAACCACCACAATAATCATGGTGTTCACAAGGACGCTGGACTGCATCATGTGAGCACTGGGTACTCGAAAGACACAGGGCAAAGACCAGTCCATGTTTGAAGACATGCATACTTGTTTTATAGATACCACACTGAAACAAGAAATGGAGAATAAAATTGGTTTGGCTACGAATTTCATTTGTTTACAGAGGCAGAAAGAAAATCAGTCAGTTTAAAAGAAGGGCTTTATGCTCTTTGATCACCTCCCCCTGAGCGGGGAGCAGCCTTGCCAGGCCACAGAAGATGACAATGCAGCCACTCCTGATGAAATCTGATAGACTAAGATCAGAAAAAAGGAGAGGAGGACCTCCCCTATCAGTGGACTTGGGGAGGGGCATGCATGAAGAAGGGGGAGAGAGGGTGGGATTGGGAGGGGAAGTGGGAGGGGTTTATGGGGGGATAAAAAGTGAATAAAGTGTAATTAATAAAAGTTAAAAAAAAAGGGCTTTAAGTCTAAGAAACTGATTTTGGGCCTTTTAGCTAGAAGGAAGTGAGTATGAACAACCTTCAGAAAATACGGCAATAAAGGAAAGATATAGGGCTTTAGCCCACTTTTCTTCTCTGTGAGATGACAGGTACAGGAGAGGCTAGGGATCCGACATGTAAAAAGAAAGCCTTCTGCCTTAAAGGGGATGAACAAAGGCCAGTTTTGACCCAAGGAAAACAGGCAGACACTTTCTCAAACACAGCTGGGCAAAATAAAATGAAAACAAACAAACAAAAATAAAAACAAAACAAAAAACCACAGCTGTGCGACAGAAAGAGGGAATGCTCTTTCTGTGAACTCCACTTCCACACTCAAGTCAGTGCACTGACGTCCGAGTCTGCGGGACACCAGTGCTTTCCTCTTCAGATACAGCCTGAGGAAGAGCCCTGTCACTTCTTGATCCTAGGGTTTATGAATCTTGTAGGAGTATAGCCTGGGTTCGGTTTTATCATCCTGTACCATCCTATCTCCTCTCATCTTTCTGACTTCCAGAAACACCCTTAGTGACTATCCTAGTCCTGCTGAGAGCATAATTAACGCTGCAGTGGTTATTCTGTTATTTTTAGAGCAATTCGACAGTCACGACAGGGTTAGGAAGGCTTTCATGAAAAATCCTATTTCCACATGAATTCTCAGGCTGAACAGAACAGAGATCTCTGAGTTCATGAAACATTTTCTCTAATCTGTTACCATTGCTAGGATTAGGGGATAGGAACAGATTTTAACAAAAGAATATAGGCATGAGAAAAAGGGTATTCCCTAGTCCCCGGAGAAGCAAATGAAAGTTGTTCTTGGTCTTATTTTGGCACCAGGTGAAATTCCCTGTTTATCTTCCATATGGCCAAGGAAGGTCTTCATTAAGGAACTACAGCTGTTCCCTAATTTGCTATGCAGACAGTTTTTTTTTTCTTCCCTCTTTCTATGTCCATTCCTCTGAGCCCTGACTTTTCTAGATAGAAGACCACATGACTGCACATCCCTGGGATGCCTTCTGGGTACATTTAATCTTAGAGGATCCCAAGAAGCTCTAACTTATCCCCGAGAAAAAGTAATCTGTTACTGGTCATCGGGAGACTTCTAACGATAGCCAACGGAACCATAACAGTCCTCCCTATGTTAAGACACGATGATCTTGGTTGTTAAACATGGTTGTTTTATATAGGCCTAGATTGCTTCAAATTTATGATCTTTCTGCCCCAGCCTCCCCAGTGCTGTGATTACAGCTATGCACCACCATGCCTGTTTCTCACGTTTGTGTTTGTTTTTTAATTTTTCTTTTTTATATTAATTAGTTTATTCACTTTATATCCCAGATGTAGTCCCTTCCCTTATTCCCTCTCAATCTCACCCCCCTCTCTCATCTCCTCCTATGCCCCTCTCTAAGTCCACTGATAGGAGAGGTCCTCTTCCCCTTCCCTCTGACCCTAGCCTATCAGATCTCATTGTCTTCTGGCTGCATTGTCTTCTTCTGTGGCCTGGTAAGGCTGCTTCCCCCTCAGCGGGAGGTGATCAAAGAGCCAGCCACTGAGTTCATGTTAGAGACAGTCCCTGTTCCCCTTACTAGGGAACCCACTTGGATACTGAGCTGCCATGGGCTACAACTGTGCAGGGGTTCTAGGTTATCTCCATGCATGGTCCTTGGATGTTTGTTTGTTTTTAAAGACAAGATCTCACTATAAATAGGCCTGCCTAGAACTCAATGTAGACAAGGCCGTTTCTCCAATCCTCACTGTGGTCTCAGTTTTAAGGTCAAGTGAATGCCTTTGCAGAAGAGAATATTTTACCAGAGGAGAGGTTACAGAAGTTTCAAACTAAAAAAATACCTGTAGTCAAGAAGGCGTTCCATGAGGCGAGTGACTGAGGTAACAAAGGAAAGGCCAGTCTCACGCCATGTTTCCTGTTCAACCTTTTCCAGAAGGCTGTTGAAGAAGCAAACATAATTCATGAGCCTTCCTTGCTGAAAAGAGTGAGGTCCATGAGCCTGTGGAGGCTGTGATATATCTGGAGGCAGGAGACTTGCCACACTGCAGTCTTACCTGGGGTAGGGCCCAAACAGCTGGGTTCTACTCCATGCAGCAAAAAGCAAAGATAAGGATATTATTGAACTGGCAGCAACAAATGAACATCTCTCCCATTTCTCTGTGCATGATGCTAAGGATACCATTGAGGTGAAGGTGAGAGAGATATATGCTATAAATCTGTTCTCAAGGAATGCCTGAATAAAGAGCCTATGTTGGGATAATTCTGGCTTTGCTAACTATCTAATTGCTTCTATTGGCCAGAGCCATTTTTCAGTAAACATACAGAACCACCTTTTCATACAAATCAAAGATTCCCACAAACTTAAGGAGCCCAGTATGAGGGACAGAGAGTAAATTCAGGAGCTATACACTGAAGTCACCTCAGTCAAGAGAAGCTTCCAAAAATATGTAACAAAGACACAAGCTTAATGTGTCTTTAAAAAACGGACAGCACTATGCTTCTGTCTCTTTGAGGCAGTTTTTGGCTTGTCCAAAGAGCCTGGCTTTTGAGATACACTGACATCCCATATACTCTTCTAGGAGGCTACTCTTTCCTCTTGCTTTGGTCATGAAAATAGGTCCAGACCTCATTCCATACAAACCTATTTATGATTCCTATGAGCATGTTTTGCTCTCCAAGTTTCTAAGAGTCGTTTGGAGTTAACTGGCCCAGGACTGGAGACAAGCAGTGGGGCCTCACACTCACAGCTTGGTTGCTGGTTTGCTTTTTTGCTATAAGCACTGTCTCCCTTTATAGAATATACACCTATGTCAAAGGTTCAGGGAAAGTGAGGGTTTCTATGATCATGCTGCTAGAGAGAGAAGACTGAGGTTCTGGCCTCTAACTTGTGTGTACTAAAACATTGTACTATTCTTTAACTGTTCTATGGAGCTTTACCTTTCTGGACATTGGGGAAGAGGTGCTCTGTGAGCATACAGCATGGGAAATGCTGGCTACTACCTTACCCCTTTAACTGAATCTTTTCTAATTAAATCTACGTACACTTTTATTCTTTTTCCCCCTACACCTATAAACATCACTCCCAAATTAAAACTGTGAACTGATGCTCCATGGTATCAGTAGCTCTTAGGTCTCAAACTGACTTTAAAAGTGCTTACAAACATAATTTGGGCAGGTAATTAGTAATTGTTGGCTATTTTTATAATTTTTCCTTTGTAATAAAGTCATTTGTTAGTAGATAACAAAGAGAATTCAATGTCTTTCTTTTATAACTGGAAATATTTTGTTAAATGAGAAATTATAAAAATGAACATATTTCAACATGAATTTTAAATAAAATTCTTCTCACTTATCAAGAACCAAAGCCTTGTGTACCAGAAAGAATTCCCCTCTTGAAGCTGCAGCTGTGGGCCCTCCCTTTGGAGGTGTCTTTTCAGGGTCAGCTAAACTGATAGCATGCCTTAAGCCCAGCCTCTCCACTTCTCAAAAGGGGAGGGTAGTCTCCATTCTGCAGCTCTTTCAAGTGTGTTGTCAGCCTCAAGTCTAGAAGCCAACTTATGAAATTTTTGGAGTTTAATTTTCTAAAACTATTGGTTGACAATAAATAGTTATAAATTTTGTTAAATTTGACATTTTCATACAAGATTAATAACTCACACACAGCACGTATGTTATGAAACAAATTATATTTCAATTAAAAGTACTACTTTCTATTATTAAGTCTATATTATGAATCTGACACAGCTAATGGTAGTTTCATTATAACTGCTAATATAAATAAAACAATTCAGTCTTTTTTTTGAGACAGGGTTTCTTATTTGTATAGTCCTGGCTCTCCTGGAGCTCACTCTGTAGACCGGCCTGGCCTTGAACTCAGAGATTCACCTGCCTCTGCCTCCCAAGTGTTGGAATTAAAGGCATGTGCCACTGCTACTCAGCAATAACTCAGAATCTTAACAAATAAAGTATCGATACATTTTATATACTGCAAAACTCTAAGTAAACATCTCATGAGGCCTGATGGGCTTTATCAACTTAAAAAAGAAGCTATTAATATGACAGATTTGAGAGAATTTTGGAATCATTCAGTATATCCAGATCATTTCATTAACTGAAAAACACCCTGGAGAGGCTGTGTGGTTTATTTAAGAACCTATCACAGTGTTTATCAAGCTACAATGTTTCCTAGAAGAGAATTCATACTTTACCTCCCAGAAATGCAAGAACTAAACCCTAAATTGAATAAATTCTCATGGGTTATTTGTCCAATAGGATGCACGAAATGTTAGGAAGACAGACAACAATCTCTTGTAGCAAATCTAGGAGCTGAATTATTATTTATTTTTTTGTATATCTTCAGTCAACCATGACAATCCCTAAGAGTGCTTGCTTTCTTGTTGACAGAAAGTGAGAACTGCTACCACCAGAATCAACTGGGTCTTTCCTGGTACCCAAACCCTGGAGCCTGCCCAGTGCTGGCTTCATTTCTACCCCTCACTGACCCACATCACCCCTTCTCCCAACATGGGGCTTCTCGGGAAGGAGCAGCTTACAGCAGGCCGAAGAGTTCCCTGTAGCTCTCATCACCTTTCCCCTCTGACACCATGCTGTCCAGCTTGTCAATGAGCTCAGCCTCCACCTAGAAGGAAACAGAGAATTCATAAGCTCGAATGAACTCAGACAGAGAAGGAAAATCTCCAGTCCTGTGGCGATGTGAAGATCATGGAAAACTGCTTTTTTTTTTTTCCTTAATTTTATTTTTCTTATTAGTTACATGTTGTTAACTCTGTATCCCACTCCCTCATTCCCTCCCCAATCCCACCCTCCCTCCCTCATCTCCTCCCTGCCCCTTTCCACTGCTAGGGGAGGACCTCCTCCCCTTTCATCTGACCCTGTTTTATCAGGTATCTTCAGGACTCGCTGCAAAGTCCTCCTCTGTGGCCTAGCAGGACTTCTCCTCTTTTGGGGGTTGGGGTGGTCAAAGAGCCTGCCATTGAGTTCCTGTTAGAAATAATCCTTGTTCCCCTTACCATGGGAAACCAATTGGTTACTGAGCTACCACGGGCCACATCCGAGCAGAGGTTCTAGGTTATATCCATTCATGGTCTTTGGTTGAGTGTCAGTCTCAGAAAAGATCCTGTGCCCAGATAAGTTTGGTCCTTGTGGAGCTCCTATCCTTTCCACATCATACTAACTCCCCTTCTTTTCTATGATTCCCTGCACTTTGCCGAAGGTTTGGTTATGAGTCTTAGTATCTGCTTTGAAACACTGCTAGGTAGAGTCTTTCAGATGCCTTCTGTGGTAGACTCCTGTCATACGTTCAATGCACATCCCATTTGTCTTTCTAAATGAGGATAGATCATCTTACCCCGTGTCCGCTTTCTTGATTATCTTCTTCAGGCATATAGATTTCATTATGTTTATCATATTTTGTAGGTCTATATAAGCGAGTATACACCATGTTTGTCTTTCTCCTTCTGGGATACTTCATTCAGAATGATCTTTTCTAAATCCCACCATTTACCAGCAAATTTCATGATTTCTTCTTTTTTGATTGCTGAGTAGTATTCCATTGTGTAGAAATACCACAATTTCTGTATCCATTCCTCCGTTGATGGACATCTGGGTTGTTTCCAGGTTCTGGCTATTACAAATAAAGCTGCTACAAACATGGTTGAGCAAATGTCCTTGTTGTGTACTTCAGCAAATTTTGGGTAGATACCTAGCAGTGGTATAGCTGGGTCTTGAGGAAGCGCTATTCCTAATTGTCCGAGAAAGCGCCAGATTGACTTCCAAAGTAGCTGTACCAGTTTACATTCCCACCAGCAATGGAGGAGGGTTCCCCTTTCTCCACAACCTCTCCAGCATGTATAGTCACTTGAGTTTTTCATCTTGGCCATTCTGATGGGTGTAAGGTGAAATCTCAGGGTCTTTTTGATTTGCATTTCCCTAATGGCTAATGAGGTTGAGCGTTTAAGTGTTTCTCTGCCATTCAATATTCCTCTATTGAGAATTCTCTGTTTAGCTCTATTCCCCATTTTTTAATTGGATTACTTGGGAAAACCTCTTTTTATACTTTATCATGGTTGCAAGTAAACTCCAGCAAAGACAGGATCTCATCTATAGCTTTCAAAAAACCCTGACTTCCAAACCAGAGACTAGATAGCCCAGGGACCTAGAGTAAAATAAAACTGTTTTAAAAAACAGTTTTCTTTATTTACTAAAAAGTAAGCAAGCAAAAAGCCCAACAAAACAAAGACAAACAAAAAACAAAAAACAAAAACAAACAAGCCCCCCAACAACGGGGCAATAAAATGACTCCTATGACATTCTGCTATACTTATAGATCAGTGCTTTGCTCAGTCATTACCACAGAAGCGTCTTCCTGCAGACGGGATCAAATACAGCAACCCAATGCCAGACATTGTGGAAAGAGTGATACATCTTTGAAAACTCAGCCCTAAATGGGATGTCTCTATCAAATCCCTCCCCTCAGAGGCAGGGAACTTTTGGAAGTGGAGGTGGAAAGCATGTAAGAGCCAGAGGGGATGGAGGACACTAAGAAAACAAGACCCTCTAAATCAACATGATCAAAGCTCATATGAACTTACAGAGATTGAGGTAGCATGCACAGGGCCTACACACATCTGCACCAGGTCTCTGCATATATATATAAATATATATATATATTACATACAAAATAAATATAATATATATTATATATATAATGGCTCCCCGTCTAGTATTTTATGAGATTCCTGAGTGTGTGAATGAATGGGACTCTGTTTCTTCTGCCTTCTCTTGGGCTTGTTTCCTTCTCTTTGTTTGTCTTGTCCAACTCCAAAGTGTTAGTTTTTGTTTTACCTTATTACAGTTTATTTTATTTGTAACCTTTAGAAGCCTGTTCTTTTCTATTTTTATTATTACTTACATTTTATTAACTTTGTATCCCAGCTGTGTCCCGCTCCCTCATTCCCTCCCAATCTCACCCTCCCTTCCTCATTTCCTCCCTGCCCCTTTCCAAGTCCACTGATTGGGAGGACCTTCTCCCCTTTCATTTGACCCTGTTTTATCAGGTATCTTCAGGACTCGCTGCAAAGTCCTCCTCTGTGGCCTAGCAGGACTTCTCCTTTGGGGGTTGGGGTGGTCAAAGAGCCTGCCATTGAGTTCATGTCAGAAATAGTCCTGTTCCCCTTACGAGGGGAAACCAATTGGTTACTGAGATACCACCGGCTACATCCGAGCAGAGGTTCTAAGTTATACCCATACATGGTCCTTGGTGGAGTATCTATCTCAGAAAAGACCCCTGTGCCCAGATATATTTGGTCCTTGTGGAGCTCCTATCCTCTCCACGTTATACTAACTCCCCCTTCTTTCATATGAGCCTGTTCTTTTCTAATGAGAGACATAAGTGGTTCTAAATGGGAGGAGAAACTGTGATCAGGATATAGTATGTGAGAAAAAAAATCAATTATCAATAAAAGTGAAGAAATATAAGCCTGTCTTCCTTGCTTAGGAAAGCTTTTCATTCTCATTTTAGTTTAAGTATGTAAATGTTTCAGATAACCATTTCCTGTCTTAAGAACTAAGGACTCTTAAGGATGAGGACTCTTTCAGAGAAAAGTGTGCTTTGGTTCTATGAGAGAGGGCTTTGTTAAATGTTTCTTTTTAAAATATAACATTTTTATTAATTCTCCAAGTATTTCATATACACACAGAATTTATTTTGATCATATTCACCTCCGCACTCTGACCCCTAACAGCTTCTGGGTCCACTCTTTATGTACCCCTTAAATAGCCCACTGAATTTAATTTGTGCTCATATATGCATGGGTGTGGTGTCATCCTCTGGAGTAAAAGTGACCTACCACCAGGCTACACATTTTTTTTTTTTTTCTGAGACAGGGTTTCTCTGTGTAGCCCTGGCTATTCTGGAACTGGCTCTGTAGACCAGGCTGGCCTCGAACTCACAGAGACTGACCTACTCTGCCTCTGGAGTGCTGACACTAAATGCATCACTCCTCAACTGCCAACACCAGAGGCAGGGGAGGGGCCCAAGCTACACCCTTAAAGTAAATAGACTCTCTCTCTCCCAGCAGACATCAAACATCAATAGCTCTGCAGCTAGGGGGTGAGAACTAATAAGGCTCTCCCCATTTTATGCTGGAATGATGACAGGCTTGATCTTGTACAGGTCTTATGCAGACAACCATGGATGCTGTGAGTTCATGAGTGTATCAATCCCCTGTAATGGCCAGAAAACAATTATTTTATTTTATTCCAGCCCTCCCTGACTCTATTACAATCTTTCCATCACATCTTCTATTAATGCTCCCAAATATTTTATTTAAAAAAAAACTTTTAACATTTATTATTTTTTGTGTGTTGGAGGTTCATATGTGGAGGTCAGAGAGCAGCCTTCAAGGAGCTGGTTCTTTCCTACCAAGTGGGTCCTGGAGATCAAACTCAGGTCATCAGTCTATAGCTCATTCAAACTCAGCTATTGTTGAACAAGGACAAATCATGCAATAAGCTTCTTTCTTCAAGTGGATGACGACAGGACTGATTTATAACTAAGTATAGTCTGGTGGGTCTAGAAGCCAAAGTACCTCAGTCCTAATCCAGAGCATGCTTAGCCCCAACTCAATGAGGTGGTTACAGACTCCCTAAGAAAATGGCCTAATCCTTACTAACCAGGATCTGTCTTCACATACAGAGTAGTTAGTGTTGGCTAGAGCAGCACAAAGGTAGGGAGGGGACTATAGTAGCAGAGAGCACAAACAGTGCAAACATGCTCCAGTAGTCCATTGTGCTCCAGAATGAGTCCCTGGGCCAGTAGCCTTCGTTTTACCATAGTGTTTAAAAAAAAAAATCTAGTATTTAGGCTTCTCTAAGTCTGATGGATTAGAAACTCAGGGTTGAGGCAAAAGTCCACAATTGTTTTAAGAAGCCTTAGATGCATATTTGACTGCTAAGACCTCTGAATCAGGCAAAAAACCTAGTGACAGGGAGGATTTGGAAACATCATTATCTTTGCAGAACTGATAGCAACACCTTGCTATCTATTCAACATTTACCCTGTGACATATTCAGCTATGGAGTTCTGAATATATATCTAAGTTCAAATTTCCTCATTTGTGAAACAGTTGTCATGGTAACATTTCTTTACGGTGTCACTATGCCCTGGCTTTTGGGAAATGCTTGATAATATTAGTTTTGATTGTTATTCTCATAATCCAGGATGTGCCAAGTACCACAGTGAGTTCTGAGAAATAAAATGTACTATCATTCTGGTTCCTGGAGATGTGTCATTCAGTAAGGGAGACAGAGACAACAGAGGTCAGAGTTCAGGATAGGAAATGCTCAGGTACAGCTCACACTGAAGCAGTAGAATTGAGAATTGAGATCTCTGAGAATTGAGATCTTAACACACAACTGAGTTTCAAGAAATAGAGCTATAAAAATTAAGAGTTGTTTTTACTCTTTGTGCTGGTTAGATTTATGGCAACTTGACACATCTGGGAAGGAAGAACCTCAAGTGAGAAAATGCCTGTATCAGATTGGCCTGTAGGCAAATCTTTGGGGGCATTTTCTGGATTAAGACTGATGTGGAAAAGCTCACTCTAGGCAGTGCCATACCTAAACAGGTAAGTCCTTAGGATGTATAAGAAAGCAAACTGAGTAAGTCCTGAAAAGAAAGCCAGTAAGTAGCATCCCTCCACGGTCTCTGATTGAGTTCCTGCCTCCAGGTTTTTGCCTTGCTTCACTGAATTCCTGCTCTGGCTTCCTTCAGTGGTAAACTATGATTAGACTGTGTAAACCAAAATCTCTCTTTCCTCTCCAAGATGCCTTTGGTTAATGTATTTTCAGTACAGCAATAGAAAGCAAGCTAAGATACTTTTTGACACAGTGATTAAAGGTTGAGAAATCTACCTAAAAAAGTAAGGGAGGAGGGAAGGATAACCTGAGTGATGATGCAATGCTTACTTTGCAAGCAAGAGAATTTGAGGCCTACCTCAGAACTACATAAAAAAGCTAGATGAAGTGGAAAACACTTGCAATTACTGGGGCTTGCTTAGACTATTCAATGAGCTCTAGACCAGTAAGATTTCTTACCCTGTCTCCAATCAATCAGTCAATCAACATGACTCCCGAGAAATCACATTTGAAGTTGACTGCTGGCTTCCACATACATGTGCACCCACATGACATGCATTTGCATATATTCACACAAAGAAGAATAGGAATGGATAGTTTTCACATTAACAGCCAAAATTTGAAACGAAGTTAAGTTCTTAAGAACTTAACTAAATACATGAGAGTCTAGTCATATGGTAGACGGACTCTACAGGTTTGTGTAGTACAGAGCAGCAGTAAGTGACACTAAGAGATAGTCACAACAAGTGGCTATCAAAATTGCAGATTACAAAACAATATATTTAACCATTACATTAAAAAAAATAGAAGTCTATGTGTTCAGGAAGTCTAAAAAAGACATAAACTACTTCTTCAGTTACTAATATTCTAGGAATAGGGTTTTTATAATTTCATTATAGCATTTGCATTTTTATTTCCTTTATATTAAATACTGTTTTATAACCAGGAAAATATATTTGCTTAGAAAGCAAAAGTAGCAAAGTAGCTAACACCAAAGTTGTGAAAAAAGCATGATCAGAATCAAGATAAAAAAATTCTTGGATTTTACTGACTTGAAGGGTATAAGTGACCTTTAACAAAGCATTTTCAACAAATATGGGTGTAGAATATATAGCAGAGGGCCAGTGCAATGGACCAGTTGGTAAGGGCACTTGCCACCAAGCATGACAACTTGAGTTTGACCTAAAGGATAGAAGAAGGAAAATCCTGCAAGTTAATCCTCTAACCTCCACACATGCACCATGATACCTATGGCCATACACATATTCACAAATACATAAACGTTTGTGATAAAAATGTTAAAGAATATAACAGACTGAAATGATGGGAGGCTAGAAAGTGGAGGCATGGGATTAAAAGAACAGAACACCTAAAAATGTGACAGCGGAGGGAGGCACAGAAATATTTTTTAACTAAGTACAACGAAGTCTATTTGTACTGGTTAGTTTTTGTCAACTTGACACACACACACACACACACACAACAACAACAACAACAAAAAACTAGTGTTACTCAGGAGAAGTGAAACTGAACCAAGAACATGCCTCCCTTAGCTTGGCCTGTAGGCATGTCTGCACGGTACTTCTTTGACTGTTGATTGATGTGGGACAGCACAATCCATTGTGGGCAGCGCCACCCCCAGGAAGGGGGTCCTGGGAGGTATCAGAAAGATGGATGAATATAGAAACATGCCAGTACGCAACTTCTCTCCATGGTTTCTGTTTTTGCTCCTGCTTGCTGTGCCTTTCCTGCCTACCTCAGCAATGGACTGTGACTGAGACTTGTGAGAAACATAAGCCCTCCAGTTCCCAAGTAGCTTTGTCAATGTTTGATCACAGCAATGGAAACTTACTGCAGATGACTCAGTTTGCTAGAGTGTCCAGAAGGATTCACAAAAACAGGATTAACTGGTTTTTAAAAATGTAAACTGACAAATAACAGCTGTATATATGTATGGGTACAGTATTATAACTTTCATTTTGTTTCTAAGATTCTTTATATTTTACATTGTTTCGCTGGCATGTCTGTGTGTACACCATGTGCATGCCTGGTGCCTACACAGGCTGGAAGATGGATCCCCGGGAGCTGGAGTTACAGACGATGTGAGCTGCCATGTGAGTGCTGAGAACTGAACTCAGGCCATCTGGAAGAGCAGCCAGTGCTCTGAACTGCTGGGCCATCTCTCCAGCCACGGTGTGATGTTTTGATACATAGACCACAGAATGACTAAATAAGACTAACATACACTCAACCTACCTATATATTTTTTTTTTTCTGAGAACATTTAAAATCTACTTTCTAAAGGCAGTTTTGAAATATAACCATGGTGTTTAGTTTTAATTGTCAACTTGCTCTCTCACAGATACCTAGTCTGTGTGAGAGATTGCTGGCCTGAGGTCCTGTCTGTGGTGGGTTGTTATGACGTGGAAAGAGTCTGCCCAAAGGCAGGCAGTATCATTCTCTGTTTTGAAGCTCAGGATTTTTTAAGAGTAGAGAAATCTGGCTGAGGTCTAAGGCGTCATGAATTCATTCTTCTCTGTTCTTGATGGTGGATGTGATTTTGGCTAGCTGGGGTGGCATGAACAAGGGGACAGCTTATAGCACACTGATGGAAACATCTCTTAGACCCAAACTCCTTTGAAATCCTGGGTTATTCTATGAAAACTATGAGAAGTCATCTGGTCTGGCTCCAGCCTTAGAAGTCCCTCAGCCAGAGAACAGAGGAAGGACAGCATGCTCCCAGGACCCTCTCTGACGGGAACAGCAGAGACCAGTGTCAGTCATTCTTTTTCTTCATCAGAAAGTTCTTTAACATATTTATCCCTTTCCTCTAATTCTTTTGTTTGCTTATTTGTCTTTGAGACATATTGCTATGAAGTCCAGGCTTTAGTACTTGCTATGTCATTCAGGCTGGCCTCAGACTCATGGCAATCCTCTTATTTCAGTTTGTTGAATGCTAGGATCTGGTCTCTTAACTTTTTTTTTTTTTTTTTCTTCGAAACAGGGTTTCTCTGTGCAGCCTTGGCTGTCCTGGACTTGTTTTGTAGACCAGGCTGGCCTCTAACTCACAGAGATCTGCCTGTCTCTGTCTTCTTGAGTACTGGGATTATAGATGTGTGCTACCATGCCCAGCTCTGGTAACTAACTTGATGAAGAAAATTCACATACTCACTTTGGCTAGCAAGTTATAAAAATGCTCTAAAGCAGGATTTAAGATGGTTAATTGTCCTATTAGAATCATGGCCTACTCATCTAGACTACCTGCCTGATGCAAACAGGTTAATTTCAAAAGAGAGTACTCCAAGCACTGACAGCTATTACTTTACCTGCTTGAAGTTGCCATTTTTTCTCTGCTCCCAGTCCATCATGTCGTGAAAGATAGGAATCATGATATTCCGCACTTCTGGCTGTGGGACCAGCGTCACCCCCAGAAAAGGACCAATCATTCCCGGAATAAAGTGGATCTTATGTTCACCTGAAAAATAAAACCCAGAGAGTATCAGTTCATTCCTGCTTTATTCCTTCCATAGAAGATTCACAAGTGGGGGCAAGCACGTGGTCCAATTTACAGTAGGGTTGGGGAATCTAGGTACTGTGTTTGCCTGGCATATATGAGCTCCTGCGATAGATCTGAATTTCTCAACACTGAAAAAGACAAACCAACATACCCCACTTTCAATTGCTTATTTATACTAGAAGCTTCCAAGAGGGGAAAATGATTTATTTTATGGTTTTTGAGATACTCCCTCTGCTTTTGAAAGCCTATCCAAGAAGCAAATGTTAGTTCTGAGGTTCATTCTGCATATTCTGATCTTGGTAACTTGGTGTCTGGTATAGTTAGTTGTTAGTCTCTTATGTTACTAGGAATTTCAAAGTCAAGTTCAATGTTAAAATATATGTCTAAACTCTGTTGTGGGCAGGTAGTAAGAGTGATAAAGCCAGAAGGTCTGTTTGGGGAAACAGTGGAATGAAAAATGCTACTGCTGCCAGGCAAGGTGGTGCATGCTGTAATCCTAGCACTCAGGGAGGCAGAGGCAGGCAGATCTCTGTGAGTTCTAGGCCAGCCTGGTCTACAAATCAAGTCCAGAACAGCCAAGGCAGAGAAACCCTGTCTCAAAACAAAACAAAACAAAACAACCACCCCCAAACAACTACCACCACCACCACACAAAACCTAAAAAAAAAAAAAAGGCCCTATTGTTGTAATTTTTTCCTTTTTTATTTTTTATTTAATTACAGTTTATTTACTTTTTATCCCAGCTTTAGTCCCCTACCAACCCATTCCCTCCCAACCCCACCCTCCCTCCCTCATCTCCTCCCTGCCCCTCTCTAAGTCTACTGATAGGGGAGGTCCTCCTCCTCTTCCATCTGACCCTAGTTTATCAAGTCTCTCAGGACTGGCTGCAAAGTCCTTCTCTGTGGTCTAGCAAGGCTGCTCCTCCCTTGGGAGGAGAGGCAAAGAGCCCACCACTGAGTTCATATCAGAGACAGTCCCTGTCCCCTTCATTAGGGAAACCCCCTTGGATGCTAAGCTGCCATGGGTAACGTCTGAGCAGGGGTTCTAGGTTATATCCATGCATGGTCCTTGGTTGGAGAATCAGTCTCAGAAAAGACCCCTGTGCACAGATATATTTGGTTCTTGTGGCGCTCCTGTCCTCTCCAGGTCTTACTAACTCCCCCTTCTTTCATACGATTCCCTGCACTCTGCCCAAGGTTTGGTTATGACTCTCAGTATCTGCTTTGATACACTGATAGGTAGAGTCTTTCAGAGGCCCTCTTTGGTAAGCTCCTGTCTTGTTTCTTGTTTTCTCCTACTTCCAGTGTCCATCCCATTTGTCTTTCTAAGTGAGAGTTGATCATCTTACCCCAGGACTTCCTTCTTGTTTAGCTTTTTTAGGTGTACAGATTTTAGTATGTTTATCCTATCTTATAGGTCTATGTGAATATATGCCGTGTGTGTCTTTCTGCTTCTGGGATACCTCACTCAGGATGATCTATTCTAGATCCCACCATTTGCCTGCAAATTTCATGCTTTCCTTGTTTTTAATTGTTGAGTAGTATTCTATTGTGTAAATGTACCACAATTCCTGCATTCATTCCTCCGTTGAGGGACATCTGGGTTGTTTCCAGGTTCTGGCTATTACGAATAAAGCTGCTATGAACATGGTTGAGCAAATGTCCTTGTTGTATACGTGAGCATATTTTGGATATATGCCTAGGAGTGGTATAGCTGGATCTTGAGTAAGTTAAAAAGTAACAAATCAAGTAATCCAATTAAAAAATGGGGTATGGAGCTAAACAGAGAATTCTCTGTAGAGGAATACAGAATGGTAGAGAAACACTTAAAGAAATGTTCAACATCCATAGCCATCAGGGAGATACAAGTCAAAATGACCCTGAGATTTCACCTTACATCCATCAGAATGGCTAAGATCAAAAACTCAAATGACAACACATGCTAGAGAGGGTGTGGAGAAAGGAGAACCCTCCTCCATTGCTGGCGGGAATGTAAACTTGTACAACCACTTTGGAAATCAATCTGGCACTTTCTCAGACAATTAGGAATAGTGCTGTCATTTTTTTTTTTTAAAGTGTTATTTTTTTCTAAGACAGGGTTTCTCTGTGTAGCCTTGGCTTTAAAAAAAAGTATTTTATTATTTTATGTGCATGGGAACTTTGCCTGCATATATGTAAAAGTGCACCATGTACATGCCTAATGTGTGTAGAGGCCAGAAGAGGGCAGATCCTCTGGAAATGAAGTTGTGAGTCACCATGTGGGTGCTGGGAATTGAACCAAGGTCCTCTTTAAAAGAGTAGTCAGTGCTTTTAACTGCTGAGCCACCTCTCCAGTGCCCCCTATTGCTGTTTTACACCTTACTTTTCATCTCTGGATCAGGGTGAGAATGGTTCATACATCACTTTAAGTTTCTATGACTGTTATTCCTATGGCTTAAGAGGTGTAAGTTTAGCTTAAATAATACTTCATTGGAAATATAACTAATTTTGAAAACTCTTCCTGACAGAAGACTCATCTTTCCAGAATTCCAGTTGACCCAGCTTGTCATCTAGGCGTTCTAGAACACTAGAACATCTAGGTGTTCTAGAACACTCTACCAGAAACACCAACCTGACTTTAACAGGTGTTAAAGTCTGACCTAACAGGTGTAAAGCACCTGTTAGAGGTGTTTAAGGAAAAGCCAAAGCCAGTTTTACCAAGGCTGACTCTCATGTAAGTGGCATCAGGTACACGACCTGGATACATGAATACCCGAGGTGCCAAGTTTACTCTTATCTTTATTGAAGCCAACACCTGTCCTTGTTTTCATGGTGTCTCCATGAGCTACATGTCTAAGCCTGTAACACTTAGACAGGGTCATGAGTAGTACAGAGGCTCTAACAGCATGGATTTTCAAGCAGGAAAAACTACTGAGCCTTTCTCATGCTCTTTTAAAACTTCAGTTCTCAAAATGGAGTGCACATGCCATACTAGGATCATCTGAGCCAAAAGCTTGCTGCCAAGGAAGGGTGTTATGTACATATGCTATACTATGTCGCTCATCTGAGGTGTTATAGTAAAGCTATGTGAGGATCTTTGGGGTCTAAGCTGGTATTCAGAAAGCTTCGAAGAATTACTTTTTATTTACAGATGCAGTATATGAGGAAAGATTCAGTAGAAAAGACCTACCCAGGTTCTGCCACATGCTGAACAGTTCATATGCCATCATCACACGCATGTCCCCGTACCTGGAAACAGCAACACAGAAGTCAACTATTAGTGGAGGGAGGTTTGGGGAGATAGACCTGAAAATCTAATAAGGTCAGTACATTAAATATTATTTCTAATGCTCTCAAAATACTAGGCCATTTGGTTATTTACTGAACTTTAATACTTGGCTCCTTGGGGAACCATCCTTGTGAGGAACTTGTGGGCTTCTAAAAGCGCCTGTCTTAGAAATAGTCCCATCTGGGCAAGTGGTAGAGACATGAACAGAAGACATCTGTCTTACTTATCTAGAATCTTCTTTCTCTTGGCTGAAGTAATGATTTCTAGCTGAAGGCTTGGCTGGTTTATGAACAGAACTGCCAGGCTAAAATAAGAATTCCACACCTAGAAAGACAGAAAAAGAATCACGTGACTCCCTAAGCCCTTAACCTTGCAGGGAAAGTTACTAAATACATGCAGCTAGCAGAGAGTCCATTTTATACTCATAAATTATTTTCTTAAGATTTCCCCCATTTAACTACCTTTAGAAATAGACCCTTCCCCATTTTCGCTTTCTTGATTCTTTCTGAAGCCAACATCATACATCTTCATAAATGCCTGGCTTCCAATATTTCCATTGCGGAGGCTCTCAGGTCATATTAAAATAACCATCAGCCTCAGAATCTACAATACTATGAATATATTAAAGCACAAAGGGTGAGTGTTAAATTTAGCTCTCGGAGTCACTGGACACTGATGGGTCTCAGGTTCTCCTACCTTGAAGTCAAAGTCTGTGTCTGTGAAGTTCTTGTGCAGTGCAGAGGACAGGTACTGGACAGTGGTGACTATGATGCTACAGTGAGGAGACAAGGCAATGGTAGAATTAAAAGACTAGCAGTGGTACAGTCAGCCTCAGTTGTCTGCCTGTAGGCAAACTTCTTGAAGACAACTTACCTACACATTATGCAAGATGTGGCTTTAAAGAAAAGAGAAAATGGCACAAACTACACTGAAAACCATTTTTCAGAGAAATGCCCGTTAGTAGGTAAGACAGCAAAGGGTATTAGTGGGTCACTGATAACTCTTCTCTCTAACTCCTGTGGTTCTTTAGGACTTCTAGCTGAAAAGTAATTTCTAGTATTCTGGGCATCTTTGGATAAAAATACAGACTGAGCACTTTGTAAGCTTTAGAGTATAATTTTATTATTTTACCAGGTAGTATGAATTTATAATGATTAAATATTTTCTTTTGTCATGTACTATTTCTTCCTGACTTCAGCCTTTGAACTAGAATATCACTCTTAATCTTTGCCTGGCACATGTTAGAAAGCTGGCTTGTTAGAATTAAGTTGAAGTCTAAAGGAATGGAAGTGTGATGGGTGGTTAAAGGTTTTATTATAGAGAGTCTTGGCAATGCGGCAAAAGAACTATGCTTAGGAGTGCACTAGCAGGTAAGTACAGGCAGGAAGAGTGTAAGAGGGAGAGGGTGTAAGGTACAACACGTAAACAAGGCCCTCTAAATCAACATGATGAAAGCTTCTATGAACTCACAGAGACTGAGGCAGCGCGCATAGGGCCTGCACAGGTCTGCACCAGGTTCTCTGTATATATGTTATGGCTTCCAGTTTGCTGTTTTAAATGGGATTCTTGAGTGTGTGAGCAAGTGGCTCTCTGATCTCTTCTCGGGCTCTGTTCCTTCTGTTTAATCACATTTTTCCAATGCCAATGTGATAGTTTTGTTTTGTCTTACTATATTTTATTCTGTTAGGTCTTATAATTATCCCCTCGAAGCCTGTTGTTTTCTAATGAGTGACAGAAAGGAAGTAGACCTGGATGGGAGAGGAAGTAGGGAGAAACTGAGAGGAAGAGGAAGTGGTAATCAGGATATATTATATGAAAAATAATTTATTTTTAGTAAAAAGAAAAAAGAGTGGCCATCTGGGTCTTGGTTCAGAAGAAGAGAAAAGCAAGAGAGTATATAAAAGAGACACAGTTTTCTAGTAGAGCAGGGTGTCAACATGCATCAGGGTGAAAAGAGTGGGGCTAGTCTTTTAGGACATGCTAGAATAGCTGAAGTTTTCAGAGTGGAGCTAAGAGACAAAAACAAGAGATATCTAGACAGATAAACACTATTTGAGGAAACACTTGTGCAACTTCCTATCATTCCTTTGTCCTGGACAAAGCATTTGCAGGTTTTAAGGAAAAAAAAAAAGAATACTATAAAGAATTCAACATGAAAAAAAATCACATTGGTTTGTAATACACTTAACATAAATAACCTGACCGCATTCTATAGAAACATAAAAGACAGATCGGTGAGAGGGCAGCAGGCTAATAGTGAATACCAAGTAATCAATACTAGACTGAGATCAGATGAACAAATCTCTTACTACATGTATCACTTGTCTAGTTTGGCAAGAGGAAGCAAGACAGCTGTAGCATTCCAGCTCTACACTCAGAAGTGGTCAGAGCTTTGCAGCCAGGGCTCAGGTAGATAGTTAGCACTAACTCTAGGAGGCAGTTTCTGTCTGGCAGACAATATGACTCAAAGCAGGAGGTGAGCTTTGTCTACAGCTGCAAGGCAACAGAGGTTAATGGCTCCTTCCTAGTGTTGTACTTACCATCTGTAACATACCTTACTCTATCACAACTGTAGACTCTGCCTTTTGAATTATCTTTGATTCTTTACTCTCATTGTCTTTATGGCTAGTGGCCAAATCCTATGGATTATATCTTCAAATAAATTTTCTACTTGTCAGCTCCACTCTCTTCTCAGTTTGGTCTCACTCACATATTCGTATTACCCCCCAGCTTGAGAAGAGCTCTGCAGATGCCAGTACAGGACTTTCCTTACTCACTTGCTTGTCAATAGTCTCATCACCATCCAGTCTCGAGGAAAGACGCTCATCTTCATTAGGTTTCTGAACACACAGAAAATCTTCAGCAGAAATTCCTGATCACAGAAGAAAAGCCATGTGAGTCAGTGCTACTACTGCTGTCCCATTTCCTCATTTGGTTCTTTCTGAACTTTCTGCTATGAGAATATATGGACTAGTGGGTTAGATATAGTTCCCTCTCTGAGTTGCTTCTCTCTTACAGGTTATATGAGAATGAATTCAGGATATTCTTCCAGACTATATGGGAGCAGAGCAAAATCTGGTAGACTCGGGACAGCTTATATCAACTCCAGATCCATACCTAAAACCTAAGAGTCCAGGGCAGAGTAGCCTCCAGCAGAACTATCAGACTGAGTCCATGCATGCCAGTCTCTAAGAAAGAACCCCAATGCAGCATTTAATGGTAAGAACAAGCTTCCTTTGAATATTAGGAACACTTTGTTGAGGAAAAAAACAAAAACAAAAACACTTTAGGAATGGAAGCGTAAGAACATCCAAAAGTTCCTGGGGCTGAAGATCAACAGTAGAAGGTATACTTAGCACACATGATGCTGAGTTCAGTTCTCAATACCACCCCCCAAAAAAACAAAGCAAACCTCACAAACTCTCTAGTAAACCTGTGTTCATGAAAATAATGAAGAGTCTATTAACAATTCAGTTTACATAATTCAAGAATGTGCTGGCTACTTTTATCAATTTGACACAGAGTCAGCTAGGAAGAAAGAACCATAACTGAAGAATTGCTTTGATTAGATTGACCCTTGGAGAATTTTTTAAAAAACTTTAAAAATGTATTTAATTTTTATTTTTTTATGTGCATTAGTGTGAAGATGTCAGATCCCTTGGAATTGGTGTTACAGACAGTTGAACTGGGGTCCTCTGAAAGAGCAGATGGTGTTCTTAACCACTGAGCCATCTCTCCAGGGAATTTTTTTCTTGATTAATGCTTGATGTGGGAGGAGCCTATCCAGTTCTGGGTGCCACCTCTGGCTGATGTGACCGTGGGCTGCTTAAGAAAGCACATCGGGCAAACTGAGCGAAGTAAACAGTAAACGGGGCTTCTCCAGCATCTGCGCTTTACTTCTGGCCTCCAGACTGCTGCCTCTGGTTCCTGCCTTGGCTTCGCTGTAACCCGTAGGCTAAACCCTGTCCTCTGGTTCCTGCCTTGGCTTCCCTGTAACCTGTAGGCTAAACCCTGTCCTCTGGTTCCTGCCTTGGCTTCCCTGTAACCCGTAGGCTAAACCCTGTCCTCCCCCAGTTGGTTTTGGTAAATATTTTACTACAGAAACAAAAAGCAAACAAGAACAAAAAGTTTAGTAAGGAAAAATGAATTTTGTCTACTCTTCCTTACCTACTTCAACATTCAACTACAGAACTTCAGCAGCCATAAAAACCTAGCAGCCTAGCAGCCATGTGATAAAATAAGTTTTAGAGCCCCCCAAAAGCCCTTCTCCAGATAACTACTATTATTGGACCTGTCTGACAGCTCCTTGGACAAGCCTACAATCAGGGCTGTCTTTATTTAATATAATTCTGAGCTTATCTAGCTATCCACAGGACATCTGTTGAAAAAAAAATCCAGTCACATTTTAACATTCTAGCTACATGATACATTCACATTAATTGGAACAAAAAGAGACTTGCCAAAAAGCTTCAAGGAAAATCTGAAGAGTGAGGTATCTATAGGGATCTGTGAAAAGACTAGATATATTCCTTGGATTCTAGAAGGCCACACATATGCTGGGCTGCTCATATGGCCAGAAAAGACCCACAAAGCTCAAATCTCCTCTGACAGAACATGAGGTTCCATATAAACAGAACTGCAAAGAGATAGACCTGTAAAATGCTGGCATATTAAAGGGAAGCCCCAGGACGTATACAGAGCCTTTAGCAAAGTATAGAGATTTACTGATTTTTGAACAATTAGAACATCTCTGTCTAATTGTTACATGATCACCAATTTAAGTGACTGGAAACACCTGTGGATACAAACAATCCAGAATATGGACTTAAAGAATTAGTTCAGGAAAAAAAAATCAGTAAATAAATGAACATCATTACAGTCAGGCATGGTGGTGCATGCCTTTAATCTCAACACTTGGGAAGCAGAAGCAGGTGGATCCCTGAGTCTGAGGCCAGCCTGGTCTACTGACTGACTTCCAGGACAGCCAGGGCTGCACAGAGAAACTCTGTCTCAAAACCAACCAACCAACCAACCAACCAACCAACCAACCAACCAACCAACCAGCCAACCAACCAACCAACCAACCAACCAACCAACCAACCAAATATCATTACTAGCAAAACCAATAAAAATCCACAACAAACCCTGAGGTGGGAGTACTCTGATTTCCAGAGTAGCCACATTAGATAAATGTTTAGCTTTTCCCAAATATATAGGATAGGAAAAAAAAGATACATAGGATAGATAGCCTGAAGAGAAACAAATACAAGGTCATAGACATAGAAAAGGCAAAGAATTTCATTCTGTGGGCATAGAAAACATTTCCAACATAATATCAGAAAAATCACAACTTTTAGTGAAAGAGATGCTGGTCCAGATACAGGAGAGACATTTAGAATATCGAACAGACAGGACCAGGAGAGAACGCTCCCTTGTGATACCGTAACTAAACCATGAAGTACACAGAACAAAGAAAATACAGTGGACGGAGAAAAGAGAGAAACAAGAAGCCATGTACAAAGGAGTGCAATTTTCTTGTTTTGTATGCAAATATCAGATCATTCCAGTACTGTTTATTGAGGCCGCCCCTTCATTAAATCGTCCTGGCCTCACTATTGGAAATTAATGATGTAAACATAAAGACTTATTTCTGAACTCTTCATCTTAGTTTTATTGATTTACTGTGTCCTTTTGGCACTGTCAATAATATTGTTTTTAAAGAAGGGTTCTTACTCTGTGGCCCTGACTGGCTCAGCCTTGAATTCACAGAGATTTGCCTGCCTCTTCCTCAAGTGCTGGTATTAAAAGACCTGGACCACCATGTCCCAGCTTGCCACTGTCAATCTCGGTTACTTGTTCCTTTGTAGTAAGTTCTAAAGTGTACTTTTTCAACAACATCCTTTTAAATTCAATTAAAACTGCATCAAGTCTCTTTAAAAATGGAGATGGAATTTTGATAAATCGTACATTAAAACTGAAGGTCAATTTTGGAAGTACTCCCGTCTTCACATAAAATTTTCTAATCCATGAAGATATGGATTATCTTTCCACTTATGAGTTTTAACTGCTTTCCCCAATTATTTTATTGATCTTGATATAATACGTACTTTTTTTATTTAGCTATATTTATGTGTGATATACATATGTGCACACCCAGCCTTCTATTTTTTAAGACAGGGTCTTTGATAGATTCAGTGAGATTGGCTAGGCAGAGAGCTGAGGGGATCCTCCTCCCTCCACCTCCTTCGTACCTGGACAACTGGCATACACCTATATCCAGCTTTTTATGTGGGTTCTGGGAAACAAAAATCAGGTACTCGTATTGTGCATCAAGCACGCTGACAACTGAACCACTTTCTCAGCCCAGAATTTGTTTCCTACTTCAATTTTATTTTACCACTCTTTCTAAAGTAAAAGTAATGAAATAGATAATGTAAACTCTTATACTTGACACTCATGACAAGATACCATTTATCTGCACCAAAATCTTCTTCATGTTGTCTTCTTTAGGCATTGTCACAGCAAAACTACTGGCTGTCTCAATGCTGTGTACATGAGGCATCAAATTGGAAGGTGCTTCTGACACACTGGGGCTGGTGTTGTGAAGAAAGATTGTTAAACAAAAAGAAGGATGTTCCTGGATTCTATGTTTCAAATGAAGAGACCACCACCACATTTACACAGCACTCAGAAAGGCTCCCACAGTTTCCAAAATCCAGAAAACAACCTGCCCGCAGATAACCCTCATCTTTGCTCCTCTCCCTGGAACATACCCTTCTCTCTTTCTCATACACTTGCTAAAGGCTGTTCAGTGAGGATGATGGTGCAGAGTTTTCTGTCCAGTTTTAGTTGACACTCCTAAGATAGTCTGCAGACTAGGGTTCTCTGTTCCCTTTCCAACCTCTGACCTTGTCCCCTTCTTTCTTCATGGGTTCACAGAGGTATGGACTCTGGAGATAGGTACCCTCTCTAGCAACCCCCCCCTTATTTATGTGTTTTGTCTTAAAAGGCCTCTTTTGCTTCTTGGATGCACTTGGCAAGAAATGAGGCTGCCAAACTGAACCTGCAAGCCTGGATCAGGGCTGGGAGTTTGGAAGGGAGGTTAGCACCTCTCCTTGGTCCCCTCCCAAGAATTATTTTTATATTTCATTTTCATACTTATTTAGTGCTAATGAATAAAATATAATTGTGTTTTGAATATTGATCTTATATTCTGCAGCCTTGCTGAACTTGTTACTATTTTTTTATGAAGTAACCTCAAACCCACAGATCCTCATGGTTCTGCCTCCAGAGTGCTGCGTGTACACCACCACCCACCACCCAGCTACTTTTGTTAGATTTTTGTTGTCACTAGATACCTTAGAGGTTTTGTTTTGTTTTCTGGAGACAGGATTTCCCTGTGTAATGGATTTGCTTTGTATACTAGGCTGGTCTCGAACTCACAGAGAACTGCCTGCTTCTGCCTCCCTGAGTGTTCTGAACACAGATGGAGCTCAGAGTAAGGCATCTGGAATCTGAATTCTCTAAAATGAAAAGTCAGATAGATTGTAATCAAATAGAAGTGGAAAACGATAAGCCGCTCTACTTAGAATAAGTCAAAATTAAAAAATTATTGTCAAATAAAGTAAGCAAAGCAGAAGAAAGTCAAAGCAGAGGTCAAGACCTAACTTCTCCTGGAGAAAAAACAGAACAGAGCTTCACAACAGCACTATTGACACAAGATCTGTCCTGAGTCCACTTGTCCTAGGGACCTTAGTAATAAATACATAAAAGATTAACATGTAACTAGAGGTCTCCAATATCAAAGGCCTGGTGCTTTAATTGTGAGAAATATGGTCATTTGAAACAAACTGTGAACAAGGCATCTCTAAG